TCCAAGTTCTGACCAAGGTATAATACCCACAGTAAAAGTACCCTTAAGGGAGCTATCAGGTGCTTTTCTAAAAGTCTGTAGTTTCTATACAGAAATGCAAAGAGGTTTTGGCTTTTCTTCCTTCCCCAAACAGTGTTTCTGTTTTAACTAATGCATCTATGTTGTTTAAAATGAACTTACTGCTTGAAGCCACTTGCAATTTCACATGCCTTTAGTGTGACTTGGTGAATAATGCAAGTCTTGCTCCAAATTCTGAAGTCACCAAAGGCCTGAGGGAAAAAAAAAAATCAATAATTTCATTAATTAGAAACTGAGTGAAAAATCGCAATATACCAGGCTTTTGAAGTGAAACCAGAATTACTTCTCTTGTTTTTACTCTTCTGCTACAGGTTTCATTTGCTTCAATTAAACCTGCTTTTATTAGGTGTATTAATGATAATACAACTGTTTGGTTATATGATGACAGGTGAAAGTATTGATTTAATCAAAAGCATGAATTGGACTTTTAAATCTTCTGGCATAAGTTCAGACTGCAAAAGAAACATGGCATCACAAGGAGGGAGGAGCCCCAACATGTACTGAAAGGTCTGATGTGTAGATCTCAGACGTTTGCTCATACAGGAATATATGTATTTACGGTAAAAGAAATTGCAAACACGTGAAAATCCATAGCATAGGTGTCTATAAAAAGTGATGCCTATGTCTGCAGACATTCTGTGTCATAGATGTCTGTTAGAGCAGCCAGGGCAGAGATGCGAGTAGTAGGATCTTCCTCTTTGATGCCTTAGTTGTCTTTGAAAAGGGGCCTGAAACCCAAATACCCAGAAGGCCAAAGGAAGCAGAGGTGCCAGTCCCTTTGCCCATCTCATTGTGGGCTACTCTGGGTTGCTCTGAGTGAGGATATGTCCTGGCAGAAGTTAAGGCTGTTAAAAAGTCTTGGGCTGGTGGCTTGTCTTTTGCACTGAGGGTGAAGGGACTTAGTTTTTTTGGGTTTGGGGTTTTTTTAATCAAAAGTGGAGAACTTTACTGACTGTGGGGCTGAGTGAGATGGAGAGCTATTAGCTGTTGGTTTTGCCAGAGTGAAAAATACTAAGGTAAAAGTAACTAGGCTGGAGAGAGCATTAGATAGACCATGAAATGTAGAAACTGGATTATTTGTTTTATCTTGGTACAGTGGTCATTCACCTGATAACATTAGTTTCTTTTAAAATATAATTAACATTTTATTCCACTAAGCGTTATTGTATGTTAGACATCAGTGGGACACAGCACGGTATGTTGTAAACATGGAGTTTGGTGCCTAGATGGCTAATTCAGTTCTAATGTCATTATTAAAGGTTGCAGAGGAACAATGTCCTAAAATGTCTGTTCCTCATGAACTAATCTCCTGTAGTTATTCAGATGTGACTAATGATGCATCTTCTGCAGAAACTTCAATTTATTTATTTGGTACGTTCCCTTATTCTTCTTAGGAAATGTTTGAAACAGAACAAAAGGGTAGAATCATTTTTCTATGCTTTGCTTTGCTTCCTGATTAATTTTTGGTCTCAGGAAAGCAAAAATGTACATTAGCAATTTCACACCTTGTTACATCTTCTGTTTGCTTTCATCACACGCATGACTGTTTTTGTAAATAGCAAACATAAACATAAGTGATGTAATATCCCTCTTTGATCTTCAGTGTGTGGTTGAGAAATTAATGCATATGTGCAGATTACTTGTAAAGCAACGTCAACAATTCACGATGTACATTCACCTTTCGTAGTGCCAAGGCAGGAATTTGAACAGGATTTCTGTCTGCTTGCATAAGAAACATGAGAAATTTTATGTATCTTGACTCTTACGTGAATTTATTTTTTGAAATGTTGTACTCCAAATGGAAGGGCTCTGTGGCTTGACTTCTTTCTGTTAAGAGGATGCTGCCCTTGCAGACTCAGTGACCTTTGAAAAGCAAGTCTCAAGTAATCCTTTTATTTCTCTGAGATCATATAGCACAGTATCCAGTTGCAGGCTTTTAAGATGGAATGATTGCAGACTTTGTCCACTTGCCTGGATTGGATTACATTTTGTTTGACAAAGAAAACTCTAAAATACTTATACCTTCCTTCCTTCTTTCGCTTCACAGCATTGTAATCTCTGTGCATTTGGGTTGCAGAGTAGTTGCTATATCATGCCTGCACTGCTGGGATTTATTGAATTTACTTAATTGGCCTTTATCTCACGGTTACACTTTAACGCTTCTTTTGAAGGAGATTCAAAAAGGATAGGGTTACTCCTTTTCTAATTTACTTTGAGAGTTGTGTTACTCATTTTCTTATCTTACCTCCATTTCCCGGTAGAGCAGAGCATTCTATAGAGCCACAATTGAACGTGTTAGAGACTTGCACACCAGAAGATTTAAGTCCATGAAGCTGTTAGCTAGCCAAGCTTTGTGCAAACTGCTTTGTAAAGAGAATGCTTTGTTAAAAGGGGTGTGGGAAGTTTGATGGGTGTTTTTGGGTGGCTGAGGGTCTACTTTGTGTTGTACTATGCTGGTGCACATGAAGGAGAGCTAAACTGCCCTGAACCTTCCAGGGAAAGATTTTGCAGCAGAGTTTGGGATCACTTGCATTGTTTTCTTGGGTTTAAAGCACTCATGAGCCTCAATCCTACAAACACTTCAGGAAACCTCAATAGAGTGGATGAAAAGTTCATTATCTGGTCAGGCAGTTTTGATCCTGGGAATTGGATGGTTTTCACCTTCCTGAGAGGCATTCAATACCAGGGAAGGCTGAGGTCTCCCATCCATGCACTTCTCAAGTTTGCTTTTACTAATAGTTTAAAAAGGTTTAGGGCTCAACACTGACTTTCTCTGTCCTGCCAGACCTCTGCTGCCAGCTCTGTGAGCATGGAATAGGTGTTGCAGGGATTTGGGGGCATTGGAGAACAGTCCCAGAGGGTATAGGTCCCTTTTTCTGAGTACTTTGGTAGCTCCATCCCCTATATATAACATCTAAGTGGCTAATGATAAGTGATCAGTATGGTCTCTTTTAACTGGGATTGTAGAATCTCCTGTTATTCGGCACCATCACCACAGAGTGAGACTTGTTTTCCAATGCCTCTGAAAATCATGTAGCTCCCTTGCATTAGAAGGGAACTTCGTACAGTTTTAATGGATCTCACTACTCTTTATATCTTCTGTGAGCTAATACACCTGACCACACACACGTGCACGCACCGTATAGCTCACACACACAACTCAGCTTGGTGTGCACATGAATGCACAATGCATATTTAGGCACCTGGATTAATTAAGGAAAGTTCTATGTCAGTTAGCAGCTTGTACTTAGGTTGTTATTTGCCTTCACGTAGCCCAAAAACTTGTAGAGGACGTCAGCCGGGGGTAAGGTGACTTTTGCAGATGAAAAATTGTTGATGATCACCATGCAGCGGCTGCATAAATAATATGATCATCATTCACATCAAGGTGGTTTTTACTCAGTGGAGCAGTTGTGAGCACAGTGGTGGATGCCCAACTAAAAGGCAAACGTTGTCTGTGCAGCTTGGTGCCAGCCTTCCCACAGAAATCAGTATGGAAATGGCTAACACCTTTCAGGATCCTCCAAGATCCAGTCTGGGGAAGGATTAGTAAACAGGAGTGAGAAAAACTGGGGCTGAAGCAAGACTGAGGTGCAGGAAATTGCTTTAACAGAGAAGTCTTGCTACTAGCCTTCAGTCCAGAAATAATTGTCTGGAGCTCTTCCCTTTCTTTTTGGCTTAAAATCAGACCTGGAAAAAATAATGTATTTTTTGTCTTTATTTTACTTAATGTGTTGGGGTATTTTTTTTATTTTTAAGATAATTAGCTAGTCCTGCATATAGGAAAAAAATTTTTTATATGTAGTTCCAAATACATTTTGAAGGATAAAATGTCATCATTTGCAACTGCTCTTTGCACTCCATTCCTCATATGGCCACAAAAATCTTTGCCATGGGTCTCCTCAGCCTCCCTGTCATCTTTGCCAGGAACTGGCCCATGTGGAGGGTGAGTCAAAGTCCCTCAGCCAGGCATGGGCTGTTTTTATCTCCAAAGAGGCTGCTCTTGGCCCTGAAAATGAAAGGCTGAATTTTGCCTGTCCCCTTTTCACTCAGTGTTGTTTCCTAATCTCTGGCATGAAATACCTGGGGTGTTAGGGTTGCATTGCCCATAGCAACTTTTGCTAGAGAGCTGGCAGGGTGGTAGCAACCACAACTTATAAAGTCTCTGCAGACATCAGACTGAATACAAAGGATCAAGCCTGTTTCTGATGCACATGTGTGCTGCAAAGGGCAGATAACCTTTCAGAGCTGCATCTTAAAATAATAAGCAGAGCTGGTATAGCTGCCTTCATGCTGTGGCTTTCCCAAGCACACCGTGAACTTCCGAACCATGATTGCCATTAAAATCTTTTGCCATTTGCAAGGAATTAGCATCACTATGTGAACTGTAACACCCCAGTGATATTTATGGAGAGCAATTGAATTATAAAGGTCATAATGTTCCTTGCTTCTGGAAGGAGGGGGCTAAAAGATGCCTAGTCTTAAAGTACTTGCAATCCAAAAAATAGTTAAGGAACCCATGTAATCTAAGGTCTTCTGAAGAATATATAACTTGAAAGCAATCAGAAGAAAGTAAAATATAATCAATATGTAATTCTGGTAATGTAGGCCCTTGACACATTTGAAAAGCCAAAATGTGGAGCTGATGTGTTTGAAAAGTGCTTGAAAACAGAGTTGATGCTGACAGTAGTTCATGTTGTTCCTTTGCTCGGGCTGGTGATGCTAGTCAGCTGCTGAAAATCTATGCAAGTTTAGTTGTTAAAGATGGGCAAATACTATCAAGGTAAAAACAGACCCTGCTGATCTGCAGGAGCTAAGGATTGCCCTGTGTTTGAGAATGCACTGATGAGTTTGACTTTGTCCAGGGCAGACCATCTTGCTAACAATGGTTTTTTCTGTTCTATTTTTCTTCTGTCTTGCAGCACCTTCTCCAGTCAGTAGTGTGAAAAAAGGGAAGATAACTAAAAATAGCATCTCCCTTTCCTGGCAGGAGCCAGATCGACCCAACGGCATCATCCTGGAATACGAAATCAAATATTTTGAAAAGGTGTGATGAACTGATTGCTGAGCATCCCAAGTACCTTCTCTTTACTGTTTTCTTCTTTTAGTTATAATTATTTGAGTCATGGAAGGGAGTGGAGTGATTTTTATGCATAAATCAATGTCAGATTGATTTTGCAGTAAATGATTAGGAAGACTTGAAATGAGGGTGTTGTTTTCCATTAGTGTGCCACTTCTCTTGAACAAATACATTAAATCTGTGTGTCAGATTCCTCTCTGGCCTTATCACATTAAGATGGAGCCTGCTCATTTGTTAAAAATAGGAGGGGTTGGGGATTGAGCATCTGTGTCCTCCCAGAAACATCAGGCAATCCCTCGCCTTACGTATTTCAATTTCTCACTTGATTTTCCATCCACAGAGTAAGGAGAGGAGAAAAGTTTTGTGGAGAGATTGTATATTCTCTAATATGAAGAAGTGCATCCTGGCTTAAAAGCTTGCCTGGGTTTTCCAGCTCTTGCTCTCAATCTAATGGAAAGCACTCTCCCTACAAAACTTTCCTCTCCTAGTCTTCATTTCCAATGTCAACTTGTTCTCTTCCTGAAAAAATAATGTAGTTTAAATTAAAAAGGTTGCTAATGCCCTTTATCAAAATAGTATGTTTTGAGTGATACAGCCTTAAATCTTTGGAAATCTTAGATTTCCTTGAATCGGGTTTTCAGAGGTTGACCAAACAACAATTTTTTACCATAGCTGGAATGGTAAGGTGTTTTTTTTTTCTTCTAAAACACCCAGATTTTCTACATGAAAACAAGAAAAAAAAATGAAATTGAGTCACAATTCACTTTTTGGGGGTTGCATTTCTGTTTTAAGGAAGATATTCCATTAGCTCTGTCTACGACCCAGTTGAAATTGCTGAACATGGACCAGTACGAAGTCCTTATTTCTTCTCTCTTCTTTCTCTGACCAAGGGAGGGACCTGCTCAAGCAGTCCATGCAAAGAGGGGAAAGAATTTCATAAATCTTCTCCATCAAGTTAAAATCAACCTTATGTTTGGAGATGATGGAGCTTTTGAATGGGCACTAGATGTGTGAGTGACTTAAATAGGGCTGAGGTCTTCAAGATTAAAGCACAAAGCAAGAATCAGGATATACTGTTGCTGGAAGTAATCCATTACTAATTATTTTATTAACTTGTTTGAATGACTGTTGTGGCACACTGAATCCTTACCATGGAGTGGCTTGGGAAGATTAGCTTCTAGAAACCTTGATAATGAGCACATAATTAAAGCAAAAAAAATCTGTATATTCCTTCACTTTACTTAGTTTGTTTTCCAAAAAATTGGCAGGATAGGGGGCTTAAAAATGTTGTATTTGTGGTCCAGAACTAGTCTCAAATAGCTTCACTAAATAGTTCTTGAAGTACAAGTCCTTCATTGGGATGTAGCTCCAGACAATCCAAATTTATGCTGTCTTGATTTATTTCATTCAGGTTGATAGTGAGGTTTTGTATTTTCCATACAAAATCCCAAGAGTCTAAGCGTTTGCAGAAGCCAATAGTGTATTGAAAACATAACTGGCTGACATACAAGCAAAGGTGTGACCTAATATTCACTTATTGCTTTTTAACCAGTCATTGAGTTAGATTTGGGATTTTGTCCTTAATCCTTTTTGTTTGTTGCTACTATAATTTGTATTTTCTGGATTTTCAGCCCTTCATAAGGGTAAATTCACAACATTAATTTCCAAGGGACAAGAATTGTCTATAGTAAATGTTTGGGAAAATTGAGTTTTGTCAGATCACATTCCTGTAAGAGGAATCACTCTTTAATATGATAAAAAAGGCACACATATATATATGTGTTTGTGTGTGTGTGTGTTTGTGTGTGTGTGTACACATTTCTCCAAACCAGATTTCAAATGAGAAATTCTGTAATCTTACATCTGGAGATTCCCAGCATCTTATCCAAGCATAGTATTGTCTATGGGAATTTGGCCATTAAATTAAGGAAAAAAAAAAGAAAAATCAGTTCAGATCCTAAGAGCTGTGCAAAAATCTTGGTAGGGAATTACTAAGAACTCTGGTTTAACTCGTAGTAATTTCCATCTGAGAGGATATGGTGAATAAAAAGCAGTTTTCAAATTTGTAGACCTTAATTTATGAGCTCTTGTCTAGATTATGTGTTACAGTAAATAATACTAAGAGTAATTACCAAGCATTTGAACAAAATTTTAATCAAAGAACTGAAATAGTTTCACATTAGAAACTGATGTAGATGAAGATTTATTTCAGCAATTTTTCTTCTAGTTCATTGCTGCAGAAGAACAATGTAAAAATTAGGTATTTTCCTGGAGTTTTGGTTTATTATTCCCTTCCCAAGGTCTAATTCTTGGTTCTAGAAATGCCAGCATAAAGTTGTACAATGTGTAATATATTATTCTCTTTTAGGCCTGAATACATTACTAGGAAGCTGTTTTGGTATAAATTTAAAATCCCTTTCTAAGGCAATGGGGCTTTTTTTATCTTCCCTGTGCCTTGGGATTGATCTTTGTATGATAAACCTTTCCATTGCCCCAGGCCATGTGCATCCTGAGTGATGAAAAGCGGCTTCTACTAGAGATGCCAGTTGCAAGCCTCCTGGAATCACTGATTATAAATTGAAAATGAGAACTCACATTTTGTACTGCAGAAAGGACCTTCAGAGAGGGGGTTTTGAGGAAGAAATCCTCAAAAATGCATGCTCCAGTCACCCTTTATAACATTGCTCTGCGGGTTGTTAAGAGTCTGTCTTCTCTGAGAGCCATTATTTATGTGTTTGAACTTTGTGGTTTTTTTGGGGGGATGTTGGGTAAAGGACCAGGAGACGAGCTACACCATCATCAAATCCAAAGAGACAGCAATTACAGCAGACGGCTTGAAACCAGGTTCAGCGTACGTCTTCCAGATCCGAGCCCGGACAGCTGCCGGCTATGGTGGCTTCAGCCGAAGATTTGAGTTTGAAACCAGCCCAGTGTGTAAGTCTTTTTAATTACTGTCGGCCCGTGCCTCTGGAACAGTTACCAGAAACGAGTCAGGGGATCGATATTTTTGCAGAGAGCTCTTCCTTTTACTGGCTTCGTCCCCTGACTTTGGAAACATCAGCACATTGTAACTGTGCACTAAACATATCTATCCTTTGCCTCCTCAGCCCACATGGTGAGCAGGAGATCTTCAGGCTTCAGAAACTCATGGCATTCCCTGCTTAGAAAACTCCTGTATTTATGGGAGTTGATGCAACAGAGGATAAGGTCTCTCCTCTCAGGAGGGACAGAGGGGCTAAGATCTGCTCCTCCACATCTCTTAATGGCCTTCTGCAGAGGATGCTGAGTTCTCTCAAATATGTGTATTGGGGGGGAAAAGCTCTGAAATACTGCCTCTCTGCAAGGGGAGGAGTTTAACTAGCATTAGTGTCTTTTGGTGCAAGTTCCTGTCAAGTTAAAAGATAGTTTCTGTTGGCTGCCAATGCCACAGCCTCAAGGAAAGGAGTTTGACTTGTGATCAGAAATGGAAAAAAATGTGCACTGCATGTGCAGGACTTCTGCTTGGTCTGGTACAGATTTGTGGGGTTTTAAATTTTCTTTATTTTTTTTTCTTTTTTTTTAATGAATCTGATTATCCAGGTCTGGATTCTGGAACAGATTCTATGGCAGAGTGAACTCCTGAGGCACACGGAGGCTCAGCTGCTCTTTCTTCTGTGTTCAGGCACAGCTGTGGGGAAATTCTTTTTGTCCCAAATACAAAATTTTTGCTGAGGTGTCAAATATAATTTTCTCCACCAGAAAGTATGTCTTATCTCTTTTAGTTTGTACAGCTGTCATTTATTAATTTTTTATACTTTTTGCATGGGAGAGAAATGCTCTGTTCATTCCTGTGGGAAAGAGACTATTTTCTGTGTTTTCCTTGGAAATTTAAGTTCATCAATACTTTGATTACTGTTATTCCAGTTCATTTAAAATTCATCACCTTTGAGAAGAATATGCCAAGTTGTCTTTTCAATTCATGCTACCTTTGAAGCAGTAATAGATTTTAAACAAATCATTATCCATGTGCAGATGTAGCTGTGGAGCCAGTGATTGAGCTAATATAGTGAAAATTGCATCACGATGCAAACATTAATGCAATAAGAATGGTCTATTTAATGTATATCTTATTGTATTAACCATTAATCGTGCCCTATAAGTAGCAACCAAATCATGTTATGCCAAAAATTATTATATATAGTTTTGCTTTCAGTTGGAAGGTTTCTAGCTTAAGAGTCATTTGAGTAATAGTGTTCCAGACTATTAAGGAGTATTACGTGAAATATATGCACATTTGATGTAGTACCTACAATCCTGGCCCCAAAATAGTGGCACTTCCATAAAGCCCGTCGTGTGTTAATCAGGATTTTTTGAGGACATCATGTGGAAATATCTTCAAACACTAGAAATGACCTGAGTCATTTTGTTGCACTTGCACCCTAGTCCTTTTAGCATTTCAAAGGCAGAGAAGTAGGTACTTCTCTGATACCTAGGAGCTGCTGATGTTGTCAGAAGAATACCTACTGCATGGTCCCTAGTTCAGGAGCTGGGAACTGTTCCTCTCTTGGACTCAAACTCTGGCTGAGACCAGACCTAACAAGATGTTTAAACTCTTGGTAGAAGTGTTAGCCTCAGTATCTTACAAAATGCATCTCTGTTTGACATTTAAAACCTTATGGAAAGATTTATTTTTTTTCCCAAGGCCCTATATAAAGTCAGTATTAGTGTCAGCAGTGACCAGACTCTCGCTGCTTTCCTGCATGTCCTGAAGAATATGAAAGCCAGCACAGAACCAAGTCTCACTGCTACATCAGAGTTCAGATCTGATCTTCGTGTTAGAACCAAAGCAAATTATTTTGATTCAAGCGCAGATGAAAACCTTTCAGTGATTGTTCTGAGAATCAAAAACAGTCTCCAAATCGTTTGGACTGAACAACAGGTTTTGTCTCCAGTTTGCAAGATTTCTGTAGTTATCTTTAATACTCTTGGAGGAAGTATACAACAACAGCCTGAGAAATGCAGTCCAGGGGAAGCTACAACCTGCTTTGGACTTTTCCAGACTTTGGGAATTTTTACAATCTGCTGCCTGCATGTGCAATTCTACAAAGCACCATGAGGCAGCCAGAGCTGCATTTTTCAGTGAAATTTTTTTATTTGAGTGGAAGCTGTTTCTGGATTTATCCATTTGTTACTGTCCTCTTTTCCAAAGAGCTTGTCTAGCCCCAGTGAAACTAACCTTGGCAAAAGCTAGGTTTAGGCTGGATTGGTGAGCTAATCCAGCTGGTCTTCTGGGCAGGAGTAGGACCATGTCACCAAGTTGAGAGAAGGGGTAATGAAGGTGTATATGTGTCCCCGACTTTGAATGGCAGGAAGGTCCCAACTTGGGACCTTGGATTCAGGTTTTCAGCTGCCATAGATCACAGTGGGATTTATCTCATTTCCCCAGTTACTGCTTAATGTTCTCCTTCAAATGTTTTTCTTTTTAATTATTTTGTCAAGAAAGCAATAAAACATCATCTTAAGGAGCCCCCATAAGTTTGTGAAGCTATTAAAATCTCCAGATGATGGCAAGGTTTTGGAGCAGTAAACATTAAATATTTAATGTATCAGGACCCATCCTTCTGAAATCATTTACATTGCTCTAGCAGGTCCACCCCACCCGCAGTTAAGCACCAGAGAACTCCCACATGAAGAACTACTTGAGGCCCATTGCAGATCAATGTTTAATGACATACCTTTTCGTCTTTCTTTTCTTTTAACAGTTAATATGGGGCTGTATTCAGTTATTTTATAGCCTCCATAACATTAATCCTGTGTTAGGGATCCTTTTTTAGTTCAATCATATATTTGAAGGCTTCTTCAGTATGCAATTGATTCCTGCTGCTCCCCGGGGTGAATGAAACTTCATCGCAGGCTGGCACAAGGGTAGGAGCTATAATGAGGTTTTTCCCTGCAGAGCAGCAGTGCCTGCGCCAGGAACCTGGTTTTGCGGGGAGAAAGCGAGATTTGCGCCCTGGGGTGGTTAAATATACACTGCTAAATAAGCTGGCAGCAAAGAGGGCAAGGTGAGGAGGCTTTGGTTTCTACTTGGGGAACCCCACATACAAACCCCTGGGGAGAGATGGCCTCCTTCCCCTTGCAGTATAGGGCAGATAATCAAGATAGAAGTGGTATTAGCATTTACGTTTTACAGGTCACAGGAGCTTGCTCACCTTCTCTTACTTAACCTGTGTCAGTTCTTGAATGGCTTTCTTGACCTTTCTGCTGGCATCCTTATCACAGGATTTGTCTCCTGCCATTTGGCAGAAGGGCTCTTTACAAGGCATGGGCTGAAAGAGTTTTGCTCCCTTTGGCTGATAAAAAGACCAACCAGTGTATCTGTCTTAGCAAATTCCTGTTTTACAGAGGGCCATGTGATATAGATACCACAAGGAGTTAGTTTATAATTGTTTATAGCTTCTTGAAGTGCAGGTAATTCTTTTTATCTTGGAGATCTTGCTTATGTCTCTTAACAATAACATTCCATAAATGTTCTCTCTGCAAATGGGAGCCTGTTGAGTTTTTGTCTTTTATCTCTATGATTTCTAATGCAGCTAACTCAGGGAGAAAAACTTGAGTTCACAAACTCAGGGGCTGCATTTTGCCACACTTTAGTTTCTGAATTCAGCAATGAGATGCAATCTTGTTGAGTTTTTGGCTTAGTGTTGCATGTGGTTTTGTTTTCTTTCCACTCATATCCTTTCCAAAGTAGAAACAGACAGCAAAGGGGGAAAACACAAACCATAAAAGAAGAAACTAACTGGTAAGACTTGAAACCTTGCTGGCAGCCTCAGTAGAAAGACTCATATGAGAGCTGACTGTCATTTTAACCTTAATCTCCATTTTCTGTTTCTCATCTCAGCAGTAGCTGCATCCAGCGACCAGAGCCAGATTCCTATAATTGTTGTGTCTGTAACAGTGGGAGTCATTCTGCTGGCTGTGGTTATCGGTTTCCTTCTCAGTGGAAGGTAAGAGAAGAAGCTGTGTATTTATCCTTCTCCAACTTTTGTAATAACTTTTATCTGTCCAGCTGATTAGTGCGATTTAGGCAAAAGCAGCGTGTGAACGAAGCTTTCAAGCAGTAGCACTGTAAAACTGCACGAGGGTGGGCTGATTGATCTGTTTGGACAAGCAGGAATGGCAAAGGCTCACTCACAGATGTAGTTCACTTCCCGATGATTTTCATCTGTGTATAGACTGGCCCTGATTATTTGACTTGATTATCACAGGAGTGTTTTCACGTTCCTTTAAAAATAAGCAGAACGTATTACAGGGAAAATATCCTCAACCCCATATGTTTGCATTCAGAGCTTGCAATGGACTTTGCTCACAGAGGAAACTCAACTTCAGGAAAACACTTGCAAAGAAAATGGGAAGAAACCCACCAGAGTGGCCAAATACCTCACATTTTGGTCAAATCTGGATTTCATTTTTCACGTGTAGGATACTAATGTGTTCCCCAAGTGTTAGTAAATTATACAGAGAGCTCCCCCCACAGAGGGAGACACTCAGCTTCAAACCATCATTCAATCCCACTGACTTCTCATGTGCTTAAACATAGGCAAGTGATGAAAGCCAGGGCTATACTATCTATGACAATTCTAATGGAAGTTGATGGAATTTGTTGGAGATATGTGGTACTGGGGCGAAATATGGCTTGTATCAGGATTAGTTTGTAATGCAACACCAAATTTGCATGGCAGCCAGCATGCAAGGAACTTTTTTTGTATTTTACATGTATATTAGTAAATTTTTTTGTGGCAGTAGTCAAACAATGCAACATCCTTCATGCAAAGCAATGTGAAGTGCATCTCCTGATAAGGCTGAATTTGTTTTCAGTGCAAAGTAAACATTTATGCTTCTAAGGTTCCAGTCAGCCCACTGTTGCTTTCATGATACATGTCTGTCTTAAGCTCAGGTCTAGCAAGGTGGCTGTAAATTACAGGATATGTTAAGTGTTAAGTGATGTTACAGACACTTGCTGAGGAACTGCACTGAGTATGTTGGTCGAGGGTCTTATTTACCAGAGGAGGTAGGGTATCAGTCTGAGAATGCAGAGCAGTGAAATGCAGCCAGGCTGAGCAGCTGGGTCCCCAGGCATAAGGCATCCGTGGAAGGACACGAACACAGTTATTTCCTGTCTTGAAAGGTAAGTGCGCTGCCAGACTCATCTCCACTCAAGGTCAGAGACTGACAGTCTCTTCCAGCTCAGCCGTTAGAACTCCTGTCGTCTGCTTTGAGTGACTTGTTGGGCTTAAAAATGGAAAAGTAAATGCTCCTGTCTGCATGAGAAGCATGCAGCAGCAGAGAGAAATTGGGGGAGGGTGAATGGCTAAAGGCAATTCACATCAGACCCTATAGGAAAGCCGTAATCAAAAGACTTGGCTCTGAACACAGTAAGCAGGAGTTCAAGTCTCTCCTTAAAGGCTAGAGGTTTTGACTCAAATTCCTCCTCGAACAGAGCAGGTGAATGTAAACTTTGGCTTCCCTCAGCCTGGATGTGTGCTTGTATAGGTGCAAACAGGAGACTACACGCAGGACTGTAGGGAAGCTATGAATGTAACCTGACAACTCTGGAGGGAGGAGTCTGGGGAGTGAATCAGAGGTGGAGGAATGTATATCCCTCTGTGGCCATGGGGATTGCCACTGTGTGACTACCAGTAACTCTTGCTCTTCCCACAGTCGCTGGCAAGCACTCAGGACTCCTCTGGGGAGGATGTATCCTTGTAGGTCTCCTTTTTACTGCTACCCTCTCTGGTCCAAGCAAGCAGTTGCAAATCCTGAGCCATTTGTCAGCAGTTCTTGTTAGTTATGTCTTTCTGTCCTTTTGTCTAATGGGCTTTCCAGGATGTTCTTCCTCTTAGCTCTTTATCTCTTGGCACACTTATAAAAGCCCTTGTCTTCTTTGGCTAGAGTTTTATCACCACCTCTGCTGCAGCCTTAATCCTCCTACCTTGTACTCATGCCTTTCTCCGTGGACCCCAGGGTAGCTGCAAGTTCCCAGGAGCTTCCCCATGGTGCCACACTGTATGTGTGGGAAGGGGCAGGCACAGGGAGCTCTTGGTCCATTTTTATCATTTGAACCCTTCCCCTAAACTGAGAAAATAACAGTCCCTTAGCTGGAGGTGGTGGAGAAGCCTCCAGCACCAAGGTTTGGTCTATTAAAACACTGGCTTCAAAACCACTTCTCAGCCGATTTGAGTTTCTGTGAATTTTAAAGGCCATCTATTATGTGGAGTGACTTGTGAGAACAGAAAAATAAACCCCAGAAACCCAGAAAGATGACAGGCAATTTGAAATTAAACAAAGCAAAACAAAGAAATTGCTCCGGTTTGGAAGAAGCAGAGATGCCACTGAGATGTATCACTCATGCTGCTTTGCCTTGGTTATGGATTCAAGACAATTTGTGGAGTGACTCTCCTGCTGTGACACTGCAGGGACAATAAATGGATTCCAAGTCATGGGATAATCCCTTTCTGAATCTGTTAACCTGTTTCTGGAAGATGCTTTCCTATATCTCTGCAGTGGTTATGTTATTCCAGTGCCTTGTTCCAGGGAGGTAAATTTTCTTTCCTAATTCCTTCCTGTACTTGCTTTTAGAAAAACAACTATTTTAAATTCCAGGTGGAATCATCACTGCTTACCACACCAAGCAAAGCCCAGGCTCTGTCTTTACTTCTGGTGTAAGAGAGCAGCTACTGCTCAGCAGCAGAGCCAAGGAGAAAAACCCACTTGCGCTGTAGCACTGAGGATGTAACTTGGTCAGCTTCTGCAAATAGGCTACTCTTTGCCAGCTTCATGCTGCTCCCAGGCTCCCTGGGAGGCCCTGGACACCTCAGAATTAGGATATTTCTCCCTAGGATGCTGTATGACACCTCTTTGCACCTGTTCTCCCAAGTCCCATGCTGCAGCGAGCAGAGGCTCGAGAGAGGTTCTGCAGTGCGAAGTGGATGTCATCCTGGCTCTTGTCGGCTCTGAAAGTACTTTCCAGTCATAGGACTCAAGAGTTTTCTGGGGTCTTCAGGCTTTTTATTTTCTACTAGGTTCCTGAAGGCAGAACCACAGCTCTTCCCCTTTTTTTACTTTCAAGTATCTGCGGTTTTCTCACTTCTGAATGAATCTAAGTAACAGCTTGGCATTTCCCATTGGCAGCTGGCCCTAAACCAAAGGTCAGTTGAACAGTAGTCATGGTGGCATTTCCACATGCCAGCGTCCATCTGTGGAAATGCACTTTGTGTCTGAAGCTGGAGGTTCCTGGGAATTTGACACTAAATATGCTTTGCCCTAAACAATTAAGCTGCATTTCAGAGCTGATTTACTTGCAGATGCTCCTGAAAACTCTTCCTGTAAATAACATGTCCTCTGACCAAGGTCATAAATGCCAAGCAAAATAGCTGATCACTTTTTTAAGTTATCCTGCTCCTTGCATCAAGGGCACGTTAATAATATAACAATTGGGATTACAAATCAAAGAGATTCACTAAATCAGACTGTAGTTGTCTCAGCAAAAAAAGAGAAGTGGATTGAAAATCTATTATTAAACCAGCTACAAGTATTGAATTCAAGAACATGGAGTTGTTACTATCTTTGTTTTGTTGGGATTATGTGTTCTCAAAAGCACAGTGCATTTTACAGACAGAGCAAGGCTATAAATTTTGCTTGAATTAGATGTCGGTTGCCATTATTGTTCCTTATTGAAGTATATATTAATCCAAAATTGTTACTTACTTCTATTTTACAGTCTGTGTCGGACAATCCAGTCACAAAGATCTTTGTGCTCCATCTCGCAGGAGCAATAAGGTGCCTCAGTTGTTGTTGTGTGGCATGGGTCTCGTTCCCCCTACAAACCGAGCTAGGGAGCCAGGTTTTCAGCACTGTGGGAAGGAGACTACTCCTCCAGAGCAGTTACCCCTCTTTTGTCCTTCAAACCAAGCCCTGTTTGCAAAACTGACAGGGTCTTTGGGTGAGTGTTAAGAGACTGCTGGTCCTTCCAGTCCCCCAAGCTTTTGAACTTTGTATCACTAAACAAAAGCATGGGCTTTTACAGAGTAAAGTGGGAATGGTATTAGGTCAATGTTGTGCATGTTTGCAAAAGCTGCTCAAAATAGCTAAGAAGTGTACTGTGCATCTGCATTTATTGTCAGCTACCCATTATGGATGACCTTTTCATCTCAAGTGATCTTCCAGAGAACCAGAGGGAGCTTTTCATAGAACTTAAGAAAAAAAAAAATCTGAAGCAACAAAAATTGCCCCTCTCCCTGTGTCATGCATATATAGAAAGTCTCTTTCTGGCAAGGAACTAGCCTTTGAAAGACAAAGCAAAGACAAATCTTGCCACCTGGGTATTGGCAATTAGGGGCTTCTGCAGCAGAGTATCCATCCTTGACCTTAGCTGATTTAGACTTTTAAATATCGGCGCCTGTGGTGGCAAAGGGCTACTTTTTGGACACAAATATGTGCATCTTGTTAAAAAGTGACTTTCAGGGAATAGAGAGAGTGAAAGATTTTGATGTATATCCTAGGTGCTGGGGCAGTGTTTACAACCTTCTGTGATGTGCAAGGTAAAAATGGATTAATTTTGCCACAACATCCCCCCATCCTATTTTCCAAGTTGTGTCAGGGCTTAAAATAGTTTGCTTTTTCAATATTTCCGTAGGAAATGGGAGACAGTCTATAGATAATGTTTTTCATAGAGAATTTTTCCAGCATGAGTCACAATTTTTGTTAGTTGGGACCTTTTAAAGGATTTTTATCTCTACATTCTTGCCTGCTCTTCCTTCTTCCTGCAGGACATTGTCTCATGTGATTTATAGCCACTTTATGATATTGCCTGCTGCCAAATATTCCCCACGATTCACCTGACAAGAGGAAGGATTTTGTTGAGGAAGCTATTGCTCTGCCAAGTCAAAATTCCCATCCACCAAGGGCAGGCAGGGTCTGGCCCTGCTTCTGTTAGGGTCAAGGTTTTTACTGCCTCTGTCATGTTAACAGCCTCTTTACTGGTACATTTTCCCAACAAGGAGTGTTCACAGCACTGGTGTACAGTGCCATTCTCTGAAAGCAGAGTGCTCTAGTGCACCCTCCTGCGCAGGGTGATACCTTCCTAGGACCAGTGTGGAAGTCTGCTGCCTCTAACATCCTGACAAGATCAGCTTGCCAAATTTGGCTACTTCAACACCTTATTCTTTTTTTGTTCTAAACACTTTTTGGCCTTTGCAAGCCAGTCAACCCTCTGCAGTTTTGAGGAGGGTTTAGGGAACCAGCATAATCTGCCTTCAGATGACTTCGGTCCAGACAGGAGGTGAGAGTTGACCAAATCTGTAATTAAGCTCCAAGCCCAAGAGGCATTGTACTTGAAAGCATTATTTCTGAGTTGCTCCAGCAGCAGCCAAGGGAATGGCATAGAAGGACTGTCATGAACAGATAAGTGGCTGGCACAAACTTTCTCTGAGCAGGGAAAATGTGGGGTAATGCAGCAGTAAGTGACAAAATCTTCTCACCTTCATGCAGATGATGCATTTGATGGCATTGTGCAAGTCTTGTTTTCACGTGGAGAAGGGAACTGGGCTGCCCTTCAAGCTGAAAGTGGTAGCACCTTGAGGGTCCTGCTGAGCACCCCAAGTGGATGTGATGTTTATAAGTGGGGTTTTACAGCATCTCCTCTTGGCTGTGAAGTGGGTAGAGAATGAAGAAGAAAGTCAGACTCTTGTCCTTCTGCACTTCTGAATATGTGGATGTTTCACCTTGCTTTGAATGCTAGAAATCAGAAGCATGACCTCTCCTGGGGGTTCACCATGTTGCAGCACTTGGCCTCTTACCTAGAAAAAAGGTTATCTGTATTTTTTCACGTCTTAGACATAGAAAAGTATAATGCCAGAGGTCTCTCCAAGTGCAGTTCCTTTCCCTGAAGACGTTTCTTTCCCTCCCATAGTGATTGCATAGATATCATCTGCTTGGGCTTCTGCATTCTTGAACAGTGCAAAGACGTGGTCTAACGTGTGAACTAGGATAGCTCAGCAGGAAGAGCAGGTGACTCCTTAAACATTCACATACTTCTGGACAAAATGGGAATATATTCCTAGCAGTTCACAGTGTGTAATGCTGCTTCTCTGGTGTTTAAAGCAAGCATGTTGACTCACGAATTGCTAGGTGTAGTGCTGACCTCCTGACCTGGAGATGTTGGAAGCAATCACTGCCATCACTCAAGGCTGCATGAAGGATTAGAAAAATCTTCCCAGGCACCCTCAAGTATTTCAGTTTCTAATTGCAAACCTCTGAAGAACCACCCATTAGAACTGTTTATTAAAAGCAACAAACAAGGCTTTCATTTATCATGATTCCAAGACTTCAACTTATAACTCTTAAAAGCCACAGCTGTATATGGCAGAGCCTCTCTGAATTCTGTCTAGCAACTAAAAATGTAGTTTAATTCCAAATGCTCACTGGGTCATCTGCAAACTTGTAAATTAATTCTATTAATGGCAGGCACAGTTGTTGGGGCCCATGATGTATATACATTTCATTAATAAAGCATGTAGCCCAGGGTTTGAAACAATGCCAAGCTTGTTGATAAGTCCTCCAAGCACAGGTTTGTTAAAGTTTGCTCTCTGGACAGTTGGGTTTGCAAACCACATAAGCATTGCAGGGGTCACCTTAGCTAGAGCTGTAGGAGGAGTGTTGTCTTTGTGTGCCCGAAATAACTGAAAGCAGTAGAGTTGGGCTGGACGAGGAACAGGGCAGTGCCAGCAGGCTGTGGAGATCCTGGAGGAGTCACTCGAGCTCCAGGCTCCTCTGCATTTTCTCTGGCTATCTGCAGCCCTTTCCTTGATGCCAGGACTCAAAGCCTTGTAACACCTTGTCTGAAGCCAGCTTGGCATTTGGAGATGATGTCACCTCAGCACCTTGATTTTTCCCAGCAAAGGGAATTTAACACTGCAGGTGTTTGCTCAGTAACTTTCACTGTTGCATGGGCATGTTGTCTGTTATCCTGCAGCAGATTGGATGGGCTCCTGACCAAGAGCATCCCCACAAGCTCTCCTCATAGTCTGCTGATTGATTCAGTGAGGCTGGAGGAGACTTTGCAGATAAATTTGATGTTTACAGTGCTTGGTTCCACTCTGACTGCTCCCTGGTGTAGGTCAGCTTGCTGGCTCCAGGTCCTCTGAAGAGGTCCAGGTGTAATTCATTAAACAGCAATCTCTTATCCACAGCATTTGATCTTGTCTGGAAACTTTTGCTTTCAGCTCCTCAGTTTCTAGATTAAGAAAGCCCTGCATGAAGTGATGAGATGGGAAATTTGGCCCCTCCTCTAAGCCATCAGCCCCTCAAATGCAGTGGCCACAAGGTGCATGTTGGGGTTGCTGGAGTTTAACATCAGTTTTATTTGACTTGGGATTTTTATATTCTGAAGTTTATCTACCAAGTCAAGCCATCCTTTTAACATGAGTAGTAATAAATCTTCCTTTGTCCTAACTGTTCAGGCCAATTAGTAGGTTCACTTACCTTTCCTAGAGATCCTTGGACTAGGAATTGAATTTTGTTGCCTGCTGATACAGTTTAGTTTGTTTCTAAGCACTTTAGATTTCCCCCAATGTTAAGTGTATAGCTGATATGTGTGCAGGAGAAAGGCTGCATTGAGGCACGTTTCCCTTGCACTTCAGCATTTTTTTCCTCTGCATAAAAAGAGTGAGATCTGAAGTGCTCTGCATTCAGTGCAGGGAACTGATTTTGTCTCAGAGCAGCCCAGTTACTGATGAGGTGCTCAAACAGTTTTCTGTGTTTAAGAAAACAGTGAGCTCTTTTCATTTTAAGGAAGTGACTGCTTTTCAGGTTAATTGAACTGTTGTTTAAAAGAACTTTGACTTTGCATGCTGAGTGGTGTGGGCGTGTGGGAAGGTCTGGTGGCAGCAACCATGAGAAAATGCCTGGGGGAAAAGGGCCTCCTATCTGAAACATAAGTTAAAGTGTCACAGCCAGAGTGGTCTTATGGAGATGCACCAGTTCTCTGCACTCAAATCCTGCAAGGTTAATAGAAGAAAATTACAAAATTACCTAAAAATACATAGTACTTGGCTTCCCTTTGTGTGCTTTTGGTGTTTGGACCTCTGGTGTTAACTTGGATCAGTGGAGTGGTTTAGAGAAGGCTGATCTGCTTCCGTATTAGTATGACTGCACAAGCTGGGGTATTATGAAAATAGAAAATAATGTCAATTATATTACAGAAATATTGGCATTGCTGTTTAGAAAATTTTAGCAAGTTGTTTTGCTGATGCAAAAGGAGCTTAGAAGACATTCTTCACCAGCTCTAATTTAAGTAAGCACATAATCCAGTATATAATTCTGTAAATCATTGCATGCCTGAAGTTGTTTTGCATCATAATTTAAGGCAGTGCAGTTGCAGAATGTTAATTCTGTCTAAATAAGCTATTTTAATGTATTTAGGCATTGTAAATTATACTGTATAAAAGTCTGATGTGCACAGAATTTTCTTCGAGAATGACATGTTATGATGACTGAGGAGAAATTATGAGTGAGATCTTCAGCTGACTTTAACTGGAGTATATCTACACCATTGGGCTCTTGCTTGTACTAAAGTCCTTCCTGTTGTTTCTTCTGCATTGTGTTCTTTTTCAGGATGAATTGTCTTAATAGATTTGGTAACAGAAAAATTGTTTGTGCACATTCTCTGACAAGGATAAGGGGTGCAGCCTGCCTTGGGTTACTGATGCCAGGTGAACCCAAAGTCTGATTAGACTAGAGTAATGGCTGAGCAGCCTTCAAAGGCAAGCTGTGGATGCATGCAGTGCCTTTCAGCTCACCATATTTTGAGTTTATTTAGGCTGAATGCTCTCACGTGACTCACGAGGTCCTGCTTCTGCAGATACCTAACGTGGGTGCAAAGCTTCACTGATATAAGGAGATGCAGAAAGGGCTCTGTGAGTTGAGTACATGCATAAGGATCTGCAAAAGCAGGGTTTGTATTCATCCAGTGCTTTTCCTTTTTCAAAGGAGATTGTAATTGTACCACATGCATGCTTGTGGAAAAGAGTCACTTTGCCTGCTTCAAGGCAGGTGCTTAAGTTTAAGCACATGGGTGGCCCCATTAATCCTAACGGTGGTACTCAAGTACAGGAAGCACATGGTTAACTGCTTTACAGGACCAGGATCTATACACTCTCCCCAAGGCATTTTTCCACAATGATAGCAACGTGCTGTGAAAATCTTGCAGCCCAGGGTGTTGAGGTCCAAATAATAGTTGCAATAAGAAGGAAGAAGTGCGTATAAAAATGTTGCGAATGTATTTGCACCTTACCAGGACAGTGGGATTATTCCTTATCCTGGGCCTTTTTGTTTGCTTTTCAGTTGCTGCGATCATGGCTGTGGGTGGGCTTCTTCTCTTCGTGCTGTTGCCTATCCGAGCCTAACATGGTCAGTGTTCCCACCTGTGCTGGCTCCTACTTCGTGTCCTCCATCCATGTTTTCTGTGCACAGTCTGCCTCTCCCTTCCTTTCTTGTATTGGTCTGGAAATCACTTTCTCATCTGACCTCTGTACCAATCTTGTCTATCTCAACAACTGGAAATAGCGTGACCCGAAGCAGAGTGTGTCTCCAGCAAGAGCAAGGGTCCAAGGGGGAAAAAACCCGATATGTTATGACATGATCAATCCAGACACCTCAGCAGGTGTCTAATAAAACATCACGTATGCTGGACACTCATCAGGTTCTGCTTCTTGTCATCAAAAGGGGATGGGGGAGGTAATTTGCCCCCAGAGAGGACGCAGGGGGTAGGTGGGAGTGGAAAGGTATTTAGTGGCATGTAACGTGCATGTCAGTGGAATGAACTGTATGTCATTGACATACATGTCAATGTATGACATACACAGCGATGACATGATGCTGTTTGCCAGCGATATGCTCCAGCAGTGTTGGACATATCTCTGCGGGCATCAAGAGGTCCATGTCCGTACTGCATGCTGTCCTGTTCTTGCCACCATCTGGGCTGCCTCACCAGTTTCTATCTCTTGTATTCTCCCCTCTTTTCTAAATAATCAAAGGAGGGCTGATTTTAATTTCCGTTGGTTTGTCTGGACGCAAGCTGAGTTGCTTCCCAAAGGGAATGTGGTTTAGGCCCCTGAGTCGACTGTAATCTGTGGAGAGATCTTCCTAAATCTCCTAAGACTCAAGAAATCACCATCCCCATCAAGTAGCTGCTTGAGACCATCGAATGTCTGAGACATCCCACATGCATTGTTAAATTGGGATGGTTTTTCAGCACAGCTAGTGAGAGATGTGAAACTCTTCTGCTGTGTTTTCTGGGGGATGCTGAGGCTTTGCATGGTGGTAACTGAGTCGTGGTGCAGTCCTTGCTGAAGGGCACAGCAGTCTCTAAGGTGGACCATTTTTGCTTTGACTGAGTTCTGAACCAGGGAGAAGTTTGTGAATGCAAATCACAAAGGCCCTGAAACAGAAAAGAATTTAGTGGTTTGGGTTTTTTCCCTGATGGAGCATTTTTCAATTGGTTTTTGTGACTTTTCAGTTGATGCTCAGCTCAAAGTGTGTGCCTGCAAAATGTTGTTCTGGTATGTGAACCACCATTTTGGCAGTGATTGTGCTGAAAGAAAACCTTCTGGTACTTCTGTTGTCTGTCATGCCTCTGTCACCAGTGCACAAGCCATCCCTTGCTGCAAGTCATGCTTCAAATGTCCTCAGCCAGGCCCCCAAACAAAGTGTGACAGCAGTGGAAAATACTTCTCAGAGGAGACCAGGAGTGCACTGGATGGCTATGAAGATGACAGACACATAACGAAAACTTGGCTGACCTGGAAAACACCCTCTGCAGGTTTCCTCCTAAGCAGCAGAGACTAATGTAGCAACAAGCTGGAAGGGGGAAATGGGAAAAGTTACTTCAAGGCACAGATGCCATTGGCTGTGCTGTGGGAAGGCACGACAACCTCTTTAGAGAGATTTATGGAGATCACTTCAGAGGGAGCTTCCTGCAATGGTATCTTGTTTAAATTATTTTTAATTGTTCTACCAGTGGTTTAGGAAAGCAGGGAGTCATTCACTGGAAAGGCAGGGAAGGACTAAAGGCTAAAAATACCTCTGCTGGATTTCTGAAACTTCCTTTGTAAGGCATCCAGGTTAATCAGAGGTCAAAGACAGGGTCACGCTGTGTAGAGGTGGACAGCAGTGCTGGGAAAGCAGCTAAGAAGATCCTGAGCCTGCAACCCTTAGGAAGGGAATCTGCCCTGGTTCCTTGGTCAGGCCAGCCATCTAGTATGTCTTTGCACTGAGCTGAAGGTCTTAACTTGTCATCACCAGACCTTTTACTGCTCTTCTGATCTCATGCAAGAGAAAAGTGAATAGAAAAATGAGAAGTAAATTCCAGTACAAAAGCTGTTAGTTTTACTAACAATCCCTTGAGTATTCCCTGATTTTGTGATACTGGATTTATTCTAGGATTTAAGCAGTACAGGCAAATGCTAAACATGGACCAACATCACGAGTGGTAGGCTTTTCTTCTGGCTCTAAATATCAGTATTGTTAATCAAAGATAAAGCTATTTACTGAACAAGTTATTGTCTCCACACATGAGCTGAGGCGACAGGATCTTGGCCAGATGAACAGATCCATGTTTGTTTGTTCCTCTGCATGGAACACAGTCCTGCCCTGCAACACGTATGCAGCTTTGTTGATTTAATATCTTGGAACAAATCGTCTGAAATGAGCACCAGCCTCTCGTAAAATGACAATCTTGCAGTCCTTGCAAACCTCCTGCAAAGTCACAGCCTGAGATGTGTTGGATGCATTCCTCAAAGCTGATTTATTGAAAAGGTGTACTTCTTAGTGAAGGTCTCATCCCTGAAAAGCAAGTGTTGTTTTGTATCTGTTTCAGAGAAGCACACATACTTCGTTTATCTCATATTTAAGAGATTAAATATATGTATAAATCTCTGCAGGTGGGATAGGAGATTGCATGCTTCTTTCAGGGCACAACCTGTTCGATTGGACTGACTGCATCTAGCAAGGTGAAGTCCCTTTCCTCATTGGGGATGTCTAAATGCTGTTCCCACCTGCATTTCCAGTAATGCCTAGGCTGTGTGCTGAGATGCTTTGGCCTATGCCAGTAAAAAAAGTATGTAAAGATTCTTCCACATCACCACCTAAGGATTGGATGTCCAAGGTCCACATTCACAGTCCCCTGACTGTGTGGTGCCTGATTTGTGACCAGAGTGGTGGCCCCAGCTAGGGAGATGAAAACTCCTTTCCTTGGTCATTCTGTGGTTTTCAGGGGGATGCCTTGAGTGCTGGAGGGGCCACACACAACCCAGCAAGGGCACCCTGAAGCACGTGGCAGACACAAAGATTCTCCATCAGTCCAGACAGAGCAAATATCTTCCTACCTCACTTCCTGGAGGATTTTTCTCCATGAGTTGGCTTCTGCCATGCAAGGCAGTGGGCATTGGTTTCCCAGCTGGATTCTTCATCTTTCTACCTGTCCGTTTTATATTTTATAAACCTATATAAGGATCATTTTACAACTTCACTCTTATAATCTACTCCATAAATATTTTACGAGCTGCCTGCCAATTTGCAAGTAGTTTTTAAATAAGACATGATGCCTTAAGAATATTTAAGGTCTCACTTTTTTTTCCCTCTGATACTTTTATTGAAAAACACAGAGTTGTGCAAGGAAGACACCTGCTTTCTAGACAGAGAAACTGGGACAAATCCACAACAGGAGTAAATGAATTGAGATTCAGGTGTTCTGCTGAATTATGTTACCTTTTTGGCTGAGTGTCTCCAGCTCAGTGGGAGATGAAATAAGTGTCAGGATATTTATGCTTTTGCTGTGCATGATATGGAAAAGATATAGGAAATCCATGGTATGTACAATGATAATAAGCTGGAGAATGAGTCTTCCATCGAAGCTTTTGACTTGCAGCTTTGCCATTAAATATTAAGAGCAAATGTACATGCAGAAATGGATTATTTCACAAACAATTGGGAGCTTTTTCTTCTCCCAAAATATATTGCAAAACCACAATATTTAGATTCTTTGACCTGCCAGGAAGATTCACAAAGTGAATCAGGACTGTTAACCTGAAATTGAAGATTTTTATGGGATTTAGTTGGGGGAAAAAGAATGAAAACTGCTTGTGTTATTTAAAGCACCTGAAGGTCAAAAAGGGAAGAAGTGCAGTTTAGTCAGTGTGTACATAGCATGTTTCTCTGGGTAGTTTAAGAAAGTGAGTGTGAGAAGGGATCAAGTGATTGCAATAGGCAGGTTTTGCAGCAAGCTTTATTAGTGACACCCAACTGTTGCTTGACAGTCACAGTCTACTAGCTGCCATTTCACTTTGATGTGTCTTGTCAAGGCTTGTTTTAACAATTCTTTGGGTGCCCCAGAGCCTGGTTTCATATGCTAATATGACGTGTTGCTGTATGTGTTACCCAGCTCGAGAGCAGGGTACAGCTGGAGCCAAGTGGTTTACATTGGCCCTTTGAGTGTGTCCCTGGGCAGTAAAACATGGACTGTTGTGCATCAGGGTGTGCTTGAATCACTGGATGCAAGGGATGGCATGTTCCCAGTTTCTGTCTTCTCTGTCTTTATGGTCAAAGAATCGGGAGATGCAGGTCATAAAAAGGATGATGGTAGAAAAGCATCTTCATAGGTGAAGTACTCCAAACCTGAAGAAGAGATGAGGGCATCTGCTTCAAAAGGCAAAGAGAAGAAATCTTGGATATGTGCACTTGGTAAAAGGATGAATTAAAATACATGCGTGTTTTTAAAAGGAAAATTGAGTTATGTGCCTTTGTCCAGAAAAATTACTTCTGCAGAAAATTGGTGTCACTTTTGGCAACTTGCAGCAGAAAAAAATGGAGTTCCCCAAACTGGGACTTGATACTGAGACTAATATCTCTAGTTTATTCAGTTAAAGGGGGAGGTAGTACGATGATGAAGGAGAGGGTTTGTGAACACCAGCATGTGCTTTGAAGTGAGCCTTACTCCCAGGGTGTCCGTGTAGACCAAGTGCTTAGGGTTGGAGTTAATTATGTAGGACCCCACCTCAGGAAATGGCACTGCTGCCGCTGGGGCAAGGCAGTGAGCACAGATCCGCAGATAACTGGGCCGTGTGTCCGGGCACCTCATTGCCATTATTGAGGGTTTTGCATTCAAAGTGTGATGGTCTCAACTTGGTTGCTACTGCTGAAATCGTGCCCTGCATGGATAGCCTGGCTGATTATCAATTGCGATCTGTTTATCTCCCTGCCTGTGTTCGCGGACTGCCTGTCATCTTTCCCCTTGTCTTCTACACCTTATCTTGATCCATCCCCCTGCGCTTGCACAACCTTTGCAATCTCTGTTTTTCCTTCCTCTCCCCATGACACAGGTATCCCCAAGGTAAGCTTCCTCTTCCCTGGAGTAGCCCTAGAAGCTCATATTGCTTTTCCCCTTCTCAACCCTATGGTGTCCAGCTCTGCTGGGTCCAGCTCTGCGACAGAGTTTTGTCATGTTCAGGATTTTGTTTGTAATTGTGATCGTTTCACAAACTCAGTGCCAAAATCCTATAGCCGAAAGGCTGGTGGGCCCCTTGCATCCAGGCAGACAGCAGTTCCCTGTAATAGGACTTCATGCTGAGGGCATGTTTCATGCAGATGCCTATTACTGCCTCCTCCTAATTGCAGTTTTGTTTCTGCTAATCGTATGCTCCTCCTTGCTGTGAGTGATGCTGGAGTGTTCACATGCCCCTAGCTCAAAAATCATGGGCAATGGAAGAGAAGTCTCCAAGTTTCTCAGCTTTAAGTGGCTTCTTAGTGTAATCTGAGACTTTCTTTGAGGTTGCCAGCTAGCAATCCCACTGCATGCTGACTGGCTTGCAGGTGTCTGTTCCAGGTTTTTCACTCTACCACGCAGTGTCCCTCAGTTTCATGTCCATGTAGTTTACTGTAAGGATGATCCAGTTCCCATACCCAGTTGTCATATCAGGTCCTTGGAATGACTGGCATATATATGTGCATCCTGCATATCTGATTGCAAATTTTTAAATGTATGTGTGTGTATAGCAATTCTCCTTATCTATACAGTTGTCCCGGGGCTTCCTGTGTGATTGTCTAAGTGAAGCAGATCTCAGAAATGGCACCAAATAAAAAGTGTAATGCCAGTGCAAAGTCATTGCCTAGAAAACCAACAAGAAGAATGAGGACTGAGCCAGGGAAGCGGGAGGAGATGCAATTCCCATAAGACTGTGGTTGCAATTCTATGGTAGGATTCAGCAGCATCCATGCACTGTCTAGTGCTAAGGTGGGAGCAAGATAGGTCAGGGAGGGACTGCGTGTCTTCTTCCATCTTTATTCTGCTGGGCAGAGGGTATTGTATGAATGGCAGAAAGTCAGGAGGTGTGCAGGAAATGCTGTGCAGAGCCAGAAATACATAGGAGACCCTTGAAGGCAATAAGGCAACAGGTTTTGATTTGGTTTAAGCCATTATTTTGCATGTGTATAAGGTGTTAATGTTCTCACAAGGCTGTTTTCTAAAGTATGAAAATTTGAAGTTCTTTGCAAATGCCCAGTGGATGAAGGGGAGCGTGCAAGACATACAAGGTAGTGCCTGCCAAAGTTCTGCAGTCCAGGAAATATTGTTTCTGCAATTCTTATGTTTCATCCCATTCCCCTTCCATTGTCCTTCCTGTTCTGGCTTTTTTGTCTTCTTAATAATAGCTACATTAGATGTAAGTTACAGTGGAGTTGTTCAGAAGCATCTCTGGGATTTGGAAACACAAGTCCTATTGAAAATCCATAGGCCTTGGGCCCTGAATCCCATTAGGAAAATTGCAAGTAGTTTGATGAGCCAAAACTGGGACAGCAGCAGTAGAGCCACTAGAGAGGTTAGGTTCATCACTGCTCTGGGTTTTTGTGTTTTGTATGATCTGAAGTGAAGAACGGAGTTCTGCCGTACCAGAGACAAAAACACTCTTCTGTTGTGTTTGGTTTTTTTAACAGGCGATGTGGCTATAGCAAGGCTAAACAAGATCCAGAAGAAGAAAAGATGCATTTTCATAACGGCCACAGTGAGTAAAGAGAAAAGATGTATATATGTGGTTTGGACTTTCTGTGGTAATAAGAAATACAACTGAGACAGTTTTCTGGGAAAAAAAAAAATGGTTTTGCTGGTAATTCACAAAAGAATCATTTGTTCAGTAGGTCCCCACCTGCCCCTGCTATAAGCCCCACAGAGAACTGAAAATTTGAACAGCCCTTGTATGTGCTGAGCTATTCACGCCTGTACGTTTTCAGCAGATCTCTCTAGTGAGCCATTTTGGTTTGTTCCTCTGTCTTTGCTGTGTGACCCATGGTGCTATTAATTTTGCCTGGTCGGCACGTAACAACTCTACATTTTTGTGGTTTGGATGCATCAGTCCAAAATACCTATTTGAAACCCTTGCTTCACCCCGGCCAGCCGTGAGGACCAAGCCCGCTGCTACTCTTTTCCTTGGATGCCTCTGTAGAGGTGTGAGGACTAACACCTACTTCTTGCTCCTAGGAAGCTTTCAAAAATGCTGTGTTAATGCCTTTGTATGCAAAAACCCTCTGCAGTGATGCTAGAAAGTAAATCTCATGGTTACTATCAGCCCTTCTACTCATCCAAAGTCAGCATTTGAAGAGCCTTCCTTCATCAAGTGCTGTGGGATCTGGGGACAGGTAACAGTGAGGTGCCTTTTGGGGTGGAAAAGGCAAACGCATCTTGAGTGAAAGTCAGATTTCCATTAGTGCTGTGTAATGAAGGCAGCAGGAAGCAAATCAATTAAGAGCCACAGTGTAATGTAACTGTCTCATTAGACTGATGAGCAATTCTTCATGTGAGTAGCCTTAATGATTGTCAAAACAAACTTATAATATGGATAATGAAAATACTTTTTCCCCTCTCAAATCCTCGGAGAAAAGGCCTGCTATCGATTATATTCATACTGGTACAACCCACAGGCTTTGTACTGCAAATATGCAGTGCATTTAAATCTCAGTAACACCATCTGAAATAATGTGGCTGATTGATTAACTAATATGTGACTGGTAGGGAATAATTTATTTCAGCTCTCCATCAACCCCTATCCATCCAGCTTGCTTCACAAGTTACTCCTGTAACATTTTGGTTTTTGCACTTTTCCTCCTGGTGTACTCTCTCCAATTCCAGAAAGGGATCCTTTTTGCACCAGACCCCCGAGCAGCCCATTACACAGCACCAAAAGGGACTTTTAGCTGTACAGCATTCCAGCTGAGCACTATGATGTACTTTTCTAAGTACACTGAAGTTGCACGTGTGTCACATATAAACTAAATATAATTTTCCAAGAATAGTATTAATTTTCACCGTAGAAATGGACTTCCTTGCTGCAGTGTTTTCCATCAAAGCAGAGTTCAAGGAGTGTGTAATTACCGTCTTCCATATTGTCATGTACCTTTAATGTTTTAAATTTGTGTCTGCAGTTAAACTGCCTGGAGTAAGGACCTACATTGATCCCCACACCTATGAGGACCCTAATCAAGCTGTCCACGAATTTGCAAAGGAAATTGAAGCTTCATGCATAACTATTGAAAGAGTTATTGGAGCTGGTATGGAAATGCATTTCATGACCCTTAGCAGTGTGATGGGTTGGCTTTCTTATCATAAGAGATCTGGGAAGGGCCATTAAATATTTGAGCTATTAGTTACCCTTGAAGTGATGGAGTGAATGTTCCAACTGAAGTTTGGGACAACCCTCTCTTTGTCTGCAGTTTTGAAATTCAGTAACTGAACTGAAAGTTTCAGAAAATGATCACATTTGGACCAAGCTGAGTTATTTCAGTGGATGCTAAGGGAAATGAGTCACTTAATTTTCACATTCTTTTTGCCATTTTAACCTTTTTCACCTCCCTCATTAAGGTCAGTCTTGAAGAAAAAAATTAAGAAGTCATCTGGGAGATTAAAAAAGCACAAACCAAAGTCCAAAACTTTAAACTTCCTTGGTTAAAAGAAGAAACTCCATTTTCCTTCCAGTTAAGATGTTTTGTTTAGACTTGCATCCAACTTTAGGAGTATTTTCAATGACCTAAAATTATGGGGTTTGGGGTAATTTACTGTTCACCAGAAAAAAATATCCATTTGGGTTACTTTTTAAAAAGTAGTCATAAAATTGTAAAGAGCTAATACTCTATGAAAATAAATGATACTGTGAAAGGCTAACAGCATTCCATCTATGTAACTTAGCAAAGCAAGGTTAAGAAGCAAGTGGTTTGTGTTTTACACCTATCCATACAGGGCCATGGTATAGGGTGTGACAGGACTTTTTCATCTAGTAGACAAAAGTATGAAATAAAAAAAAAAGCCCAGTGGAATATAAAGCATAGCTCTTTAAGTAAAGGAAAAATACATTTTTATTCCTGGTTTTCTTGTGCTTGTGAATTACTTGGCTTCTGGTACACCAGATATTTGATATGGTGATACTGTGATGTTCAGTAATCCACATCCATGAGTGCAGGGCAGGTCTGCATGCTTTTGATCAGCTGAGGCTGAACTACATCCTGTAGACACATTGTGTTGTGCATTCCCTGGACATGCCGTGATCCCGTCCTTCCTGATTTTTCTCTTAAGGTGAATTTGGGGAAGTCTGCAGTGGGCGGCTGAAGCTGCAGGGAAAGCGTGAGTTTCCAGTGGCTATCAAAACCCTGAAGGTGGGCTACACGGAGAAACAGAGAAGAGATTTCTTGGGAGAAGCAAGCATCATGGGGCAGTTTGACCACCCCAACATCATCCACCTGGAAGGTGTCGTCACAAAAAGTAGGTACAACTTGCTCTGGAGTGCTCTTCTTGAACTCTGGCTAATGGGAGAGTTGGTCAGGGGAAGAAGACTGAAGTTACTCACTTTTTGACTGCACCTTTCTTAATTCCTCAAATAAAAATGAACTCCCTTGCCTGAAGTGTCACTCTTGATAGGTCCAGCCAGAAACAAGTTCACCAACACGGTAAAGGGGGTTTGTACACAAAGAGTTTTAGTGTTCATCTAACTACAGTGGATAGATAATGGCTAAAATGATAAAAAACTGTAACTGCCCCTGCAGACCTTACCTGACTTAGGCATAATATGCATGGGTTAAGAGAAAACCCCTCTTTGAAGGCCCAAAATCAAATTACACAGAAACAGGAAATGTTTTTGGCCAGTCTCATGCAGTGTGGAGATGATAGAGATGGCAATAAGCCTGGGATGTCTGGATGCCAGTGGAGTGTGCTGCCTGATTCCTGCCTTGAAAGTAGTTCAGCAGTACATACCACCTGTAAAATGCAAGATCATTTTTAACGCAGCAACACCAAACCAACCACTAAGTTTTCCAAGCAGGCTTGCCTCTTAAACCTGCCTTTTTTTGTTCACTTTTGAAACCACATGATCCCAAAGGTCAGCAAAGATGTGCTAGGAAGTAGGAAGTAATTTCCCAGGCAGGGAAATGAGGAAGATTTTGCTACCAAGAGTGTGGGAGAGGGAGGAACTCATCCCACAAACCCTGATGATTTCCAACGATGATGTTTTGAGGCACCACTGAAGCAAAGCCCACCCAAAGGAGGGTAGTACTGAGTCTAGTGATCACTCATATGGATGTGAGCAAGAACAGAAGGTTTCCAGAAGCAGGGAAGAAGAACAGGATTGTAGCTGAAAATGACTGGACTGTATAAAACCACAGTTAAATCAAGGTCACCCTGGGATTTGCTACTGATGCCTCTGGTAATAGTTGCCTATGGTGCTGACATATAGATTATAAGTGGGGTTGAGGGCTTGAGGTAAATGTGAAATGTCTGGCGAAACATCACAGCACAAGAGTTACTGAGATCTGACTTCTCAGTTAGCAAAACCTTCCATAACTTTCCCAGCCCAGTTCCTCTCCGAATTACTGCATGAAGATAAGGGCAGGGAAAGGGACAGCACATCCAAATGTGCCCAGTCCAAGCCTCTCTGGCTGTTGGTGCTGTGCTGAGGCTGTGGAAAATGTGCAGAGGCATTGTTACTCATTCATTTTAAAGTCTTGGAGAATCTACATTATTTGCATCAAGGATTATTTTGTTGAAAAGAGCTACTACTTTATTTTAAGATGTCCCTTAAATGAAGAAGCACCAGCATTACAAGTGTGAATGGCTGTCTCCCCTCGCCTTCATGTTTGGCAACATCATAGCTTAGCTACTACTGTTCAAGTGGCAGTGTTTGCTGCCATGTGGCTGCTGTTGGTACTATTTGTCATTCGTCAGAGGAAGTGTCTCCAACATTAGTTCTTTTTCAGAGCTGCAGTAGGCAAGGTATAGAGATGCTAGCTGTTTGCCCTGTTCACATCCTCATAACCTACACAAAATCAGTGCTCTTTTGCAATCAGCAGCCTTTTCTTGCATTTTTTCTTTGATATTGCATTTTCTAAAACTTTTAAGAGAAGAAAAAAAATAAACAAAATAGATTTCTCCCAGAAATTGAATAAATATCAAAATCTCTCAGGGACACCTTGTGTAACACTTAACACATAAAAGCTCCAATTTCTAACCCTGCAGGGATTGGTTTAGAATATTGGGTAGAATATTGGGCAGGAAGAGAGTGATGATTATACATCCATGAAAACTGCTACTGGCATGGGCTTGAGTCTTTCTGGCTGCTGGGGCCTCAAGGGGTGGATGGGAATCCCACTTTCAGAGAGAATGTGCCTCCTTAGCAAGCTCCCTTTTATATAAAGTGGGCGTCTGCTCCAAAGACTGTGCAAACACCAGGAGCTCTGCTTCTGAATTGGACTTGGAACAACTGGAGTTTGGATGCAGGGTGGGTACATGCACCCTGAGCTTCTCATTAGCTCAGTACACGCTAGTTTATTCCACTCAAAATTTCTTCCAGCAGCATCTTCACAGCTTTTTTCTTTTCTTTTACATGGACTAAAACAACCTTTATGAATCACAAACTATGTTGCTGTCTCAAAGTATTTTTTAACTTCTTTTTCCCTTCAGTGTTTCATTCATTGGCCTATTGTAGATTCAGGTCTTAGGGTAAAATGTCTTTGCTGCATCATGATTTATTTTGGAAGTAAATTAAGTTGAATTAGGCCATTTTTAATTCTGAAAGATAATATCATGCAGGGATTTCATACCATTTCACTAATATAGTTCAAATGCACGTTTTAGTTAATTTGGATTAACCATCTTCACTGTCCCCTCGCAGACAAGCCCTTAGCTATTTCTGCTCTACAAAGGTAGTGACAGCCCCGCTTTCATTTGCATGCCATTTGATTGTGCTGATGGTGTGCACATTGCTTTAGTACATTGATATGAGTGTCATCCACATACATTTTATGGCCACGTAATGCCAGCGGGAGGGAGCCCTGCTGACACAGAGAGTCAGCCCAGTGCTTTAGAAGGGCCAATGTTTACTTTTAATTTACTTCGTTGAAAGCTATCTATTTGTGTCTTCATTTCCACTCTCTTGGATATGGGGTTAATTTATTCCATGATTACTGTCAATGTGCAGCAGTCAGATAATGAAACATAAGTGCCAGAAATCTTATTTTCTTTTCTCTGATGGCAGCCAAAGGCAGGAGTCTGGAGGAGGTCCCCCAGGGTGGTGGCGTAATGAGACACCATTTTCACTGCCTTGAAGTGTCAGAGATAAGGGACACCATGCTACAAACGGGTGTTTAGTGTTTAAAAACAAACAAACAAAAATTAAATTTGAGACATACCTGGGATTTTTGTTCCCTGCAAATCCATTGACGCGTTTGCCAACCAATAGCAATGGCTCCCTCTCACGTGTAGCCCATGTTGTGCATAGACAGATGTCTGTCATCCTTGAGGATGAGGCCTGTTATTTTATTTGGGACTCAATATTTTTCATGGTCCCAACGTGCATTTCTCATATCAAAAGTAATACTTTTGGCAAGTTTCAAGCTCAGGCAATAGCTGTGATAGTAACTTATAAAGAATTGAGGCAGCACAGGTCCCTCATGCTGCAAAGGTAGTGTTTGCACAGCAGTGGGTATTTTGATGGACAAGTTCAAAATTACCTCTGTTGTGTAGATAATTAAGCAGTAAATTAGGTAAAATAGTTAAGGTAATGGGAAAGTGGGAAAATTAAGATCTAACTAAATGGTAGAACATGCGCCGATTTTTAGTATTTACCTTCCTTGCATGTTGTGACACGTAGCGGCTCTTGTTGCTCATTTCTATGAAAGACATTTATAATGCACTTTACAAATAATTGGCAGCTTCTCTTTTGTCTGTGCTTCTTGCTAGCTAATGGAAATTGATTTAAATAAAAAATAATTTACATGTTCTTATAAGATTTCATTGAATTTACAAGGAATGGAGCACACCACATTAATTATTGCTATGCCATTGTGGCAAGCTAGCGAGAAATTACATATAAAAACTGAGGAAAAACTATATATAATTACCATTAAAATGACTCGGGCATGAAAATTAATCAAACAGATTTGGAAAAACATTATTATTCCTGTCAACAATAGGAGACCAGATCTTTTGTTAAGAACTTTGATTTCCACTTGCACTCATTCCATACTTAACTAGCCTTTGTTCTGCAGAGTAAATATCCCTTTTCTTACTTCCAGTTGTGTTAACAAGGGTAGTCACATGGGATTACTTGAATTAGAAGGGATCTAATCCCATCCTTTCCTGGTCTTGGTTTTGGTGGCTACCAAGCTCAAGCTTCAGATCATCCTGGTTGTTCCTGTTGGGCTCCCGTTGTTACTTCAGGGTGTAAAACTCTAGGGAAGAGTCCTGAGAGGTCAATGCAAGTTTTCAGCTTGTTGGTGTAGCTGAGAAGAGGGTTGCCTGGGTTCAGTTTGCAACCTCTTCCTTGCAACCTCAGTCATCATCTAAACACTCTAGGGCTTGGTACCTCTAATAATATGGAATTACTTTTTCATCCCCTCCTCCTCAATTCCCCTACTTCTGTATATATTCTGGGAAAAAACATTTGTCCTCCTGCTGGGACAGCAGTGTCTTGGTGTAGATTTACTGTTGTATGGCTGTATATTCACATGCACATGCACTATGAAAAGACTTTTGTATTTTCATGTTTTTTAAATAAATTACTTACAACCTCGTGCACTTTTTTTTTCCAGGCAAACCAGTAATGATAGTGACTGAATACATGGAGAATGGTTCTCTGGATACATTTTTAAAGGTAATCCTTTTTCCAGGGAGACCTTGGTTAAGGTTTGGGTTCTTTTCAGATGGTTAATATCAATGAAAAAGTTTGCTGGGTATTGGTGCTGTCTAAGGAGGAGTAACTCAGTCGTCTGTTTGATCTACATGAACACAGCATTGTGAAGGACCTGGTGCATGCATTGATAGAAACAGACAAGAATAAATTGGAGGATATTATGTTTATTTTAGAAGGCAGTTGCCTGCATGGAAATTATTAACTTATCCTGCAAAATTTGATGTTTCAAGAGCACATCCACACTGCATCATGGCAAACTTGACAGAGTTTTTCCATGAAACATAAGAGCTAGAAAAGGGAGGTTAGGGGAAGTGGTTAGAAATGCAATGTGGCAACATCAGGAAGAGCCCCTACCCCCAAATATTCACATTTGAACCTCTACAGGTAGGACTTTGCAATTCAGTTGGGCTGACTGAGAAACAACCCACCCTGGTTCCCTTATACACATAACTACATGTGTTCCCTCCCAGTCACAGTCTCTTTATCAGTCACCAGTGGAAACAGCTCACTCCTTGATCTCCAGTTAAAAGAACTACATTTCCTTAGCTTTGTCTCTAGAGATCCTAATCTAAACAGTGAAACTTAGAAAAGCTTCATGGTCAGAGCATGAACGTAATGAATTATTAATTTTCCTGGTTTTCTTCCTTGGAGACTTGCCTTTGCATTTTTATTCATGCACACGCAATTCTGAGGGTGCAGAGACTCTCAACTCATCAAATGTCTCCTTCCTTTTGCAGAAGAATGATGGGCAGTTCACAGTCATTCAGCTGGTTGGGATGCTACGAGGCATTGCATCAGGAATGAAGTACCTGTCTGACATGGGTTATGTACACAGGGATCTGGCCGCCAGGAATATCCTGATCAACAGTAACTTAGTCTGCAAGGTGTCAGACTTTGGCCTCTCCAGAGTCCTAGAAGATGACCCTGAAGCAGCATACACGACTAGGGTGAGTTAGGAGGATACCAAACTAATTGGGATCAAGAAAAACGTATTCCCTGCCACATTTTAGTGTTCAGGCTCTCTAGTCAAGAGGTATCTACAAATCCAGAGCCTCTAAACTGTGCATGAGGGTATGATATGATGTTAACAGGTAATTGTTATCAGATTATTTTTGCAAAAGCCCTAAATTTATAGTGGGGATAGCCAAATAAGGCAGAACTTCATTAATAACTTTTAAGTTCAGGTTAGGTACATGAGTCAAATAGCAGGCTTTGCAAAGTTGCCATGCTCCCAGCTCTACTCTGGCCTCTTTGGCGAATACCAAAGGGAGGAAAGAGCAATTGCTGTGCTCAGGCACCCATGTGGAGACGTAAGCCACAGTCTTCAGAATAATTTGACCATTTAAAAATGTTGGTGTGTAATGAATGCGCATTGCAAATAATGCACATTGCCTTCAGCATAACACTGAGTAATTTGAGGGTAATTTCTCCCAACCCGAGAAAGAGCTTCTCCAGCCTCAGTGCTCTGCCCCTGTTCATCCTTGGTCAATTGTTTCAGGATATCAGCCCACCTATCCTGGTGAAGGTCACAGCACTGAAGAGATGAGGTGGACAAGACCCATCCTCAGCAGCACAGACTTGGAGAGAGCCTCCAATATTAATGGCAGTGATTGGCACACCTGGACAAGTCCTATTAGCGTGTTTTTTCAAGGGTATTGTTTTACGGGTAGTGGGAGCTCTCTTAAGTCACGTTGCCAGTTCCCACAGAGATCTGGGAAAGGTCTTTCAGCTCTTGGCAGTCACAGCCCCGCAATGGGACTCAGTGCACAGCTGGACTGGCATTTCCCTGCAGGCTGGAGGGCTCTCGGCCAGCCCTGCTGCGGCTGCAATGTGCTGCCATGTGCTAATTGGCACTGCTGAGAATCTGGCCCCTCACTTAAGGCATGCCCTGATAAGGCTGTGAATAAGTAATTATTGGAAGAAGAGACTTTTTAAAAGTTGCTGTGGAAGTGTGTTCCAAACCCTGTTATTTTCCCAATAACAGACACTGTGAGGGGCATTCAGGGAGACCGTGCAATATTTAGCTCAACAGTGAGAGGAAGGGACTTCACAGTAAAATATTTTTTTATATAAATCAAGGGAGACAACTCTTTAAACCCAACTGAGTAAAGTATTCCTTAATTCAATATCCCCTTTTCCTTCTCAGAGATGGTCTGAAGTTTTGATTTCTAAAATGATAGAAAGGGGAGAAGGAAACAGCAAAGCACATTTGACAGCTGTGGCATCATTTTCAGTCCCACAGCAGAGGCTAAGCAGGCTGGTCTTTGCACACACAGATTTCTGTGTCTACACAGATCCCTCTGCAGGATCAGGACTGCATTTAAAAAAAAAAAAAAAAAAAAAAAGGCATTACTTCCGCAGCAATTTGCATGAAGCCCTCGTTAGATCAAAGTCTTCCTTGGCTTCAGAGCTGTCTGTTCCTCCCCCGCTCGCTCTCAGAAATGGAGGAACGGTATTCCCTTACCAACCCATGCAACATAATTGAGATGTTGATCCTATACATGTCCCAGCATTCAAACAACATTCAAACAACAAACCTTCAGGACAGCCAATTAGTAGGCAGCCTACAAATGCTTATGGGCTGAGATAATGTGGAAAGGGGCCCCATGCTGTCAAACAGATTTACTTTAAAATTCGATGTCTCTTTCCAGAGAGAAAATAACATCCCTTGGTGCTCTGAGGAGAGCTGTTTCGTCTTCTTTTGCATGTTCTCTGCCCTCCTCTGCAATCTGTTTTTTGTGGGTTTTTTCCACTTCTTTTCCATTTAGGGAGGGAAGATCCCCATCCGATGGACAGCACCTGAAGCAATTGCCTTCCGCAAATTCACATCGGCCAGCGACGTCTGGAGCTATGGCATTGTAATGTGGGAGGTGATGTCCTACGGCGAGAGGCCTTACTGGGAAATGACAAACCAAGATGTAAGCACGTGTGAGAGCTGATGTGTGATGGGACTTTGAGGGCTCAGCATTCATTCCGCAATCAGAGAGGCAGAATGGGGACAAGATGAGGAGAGCTACTGTAAAAATGGCTTTGGTTCCCCATGCCAGACAGAAACGATCCTCCTGTTTGATCCTCCTTGTTTTTTGCAGCAACCCAGAACAGGCTGTGCGCAGAGGGAAATGTGTCTGCACAGAGGCAAGCCTGCTTCCCCCCAGCAGACCGCTGGAGCTTCACTAATGTTGTTAGAGCTGGAGCCTGTCCCTCCTCTACTTAATGACAAAGGCCTGCCAGGGGATAGAAGCTGATAAACTGGCAGTGTTTCAATTGCGTGTTCAAACCTCTGCTGCCACGTAAAGCAGCAACTCAAGAGAGTCATGGTAAGGGCTTTGTTTCCCTGCACAAAAGCTGGGTGATCTGATCTAGTGACAGCAGTCCACAGAGCTGCATCTTGGTTGTTTGTGCATTGCTGATCTCAAGAGAATAATTTTACTCCTGTTGTGAACATCTTGTAAGTTTGCGCTAACGCAAAGCTCTTATGACTCATTTGCACACTATCCTTCAAGTAGGGTCCCCTTGCTCGTGGGTTCTAGTGCCCCCTTGAGCTTCTGATCTCAAGGCCACCCTCTGAAGCATCTCCAAACAGGGAGGTGCCTGGGACACTGTCTCCTGTCTGACTGCAGCTCCAATCCCAGCCTGGCTAAGGATCTCCTGATCCTACTGCAGGGCTACATTCTTTCCTGAGCTCACCATCGAAATCTGTTCTTGTCCAAGGGTAAAAAACTTAACCCTGGGGTTGACAGATTTTCTAGGCCCCACCTTCCTCTTCGTATCTCCTAGAACCATGATGGTGAAGGTCTTTGAGGATGTCAACTAGCGCACGAGGTTGGGTTCACCATGAGGCATGCGAGGCAGCCCTGCTGCCTGTGGAGATCCTACTGCCAGATGGGTTTTCGCCATGGGTTTCCTCTGGTCACATCACCTGATGTTTTATCCCTTTTTATTCTTTTTTTAAGCAGCATCCCTATCCCCATGACTTTCTGCCGTTTCACTGGCAGCAAAGGCTCTGGCTGAGCATTCTGTGTCTCCTGCGTTTTCTTTGCGAGCCTTTGCCATCAGTGGATGTTACTACCTGTCATGCTGAGCTGCTGTCTCATCTCACTTTGAGTCCAGGCATGGAAGCGAGTGGTACCTTTGAGACGGTCACGCCACCTGAGCGCATTGTTTGGCATGAATGCCCCACTGCTTCTGCATTGCTGAGGCTGTCCCATTTGCAGGAAGTTTGGTAAAGCAGTATGTGTCTACACAGGGATTTATCTCAGTCAAATCCAGAGAGTTTCTTCCATAGTCTGTACAGAGAATACAACACTCGAGAGCCAAGCTTTTTCCCTCGCACTGAGCACTGTAACTATCTTTAGTGCCGATGCACTGGCATAGCACAGATGTTGTTCAGTAAACGCCAGGCTGAGATTACAGCTGGTGCCAGTGAAATAATGCTCCATGGTCAGGGGAGTCCCTTGTCTGGATCATAACACTATGAACATCCACACTTTGCGGAACTGTTTCAAAAAACCCAAATGCCTCCATATGCTGTGGGGCATGGGGTGAATTTCACACTTGCCTGGTGTGAAAGCAGAAAGCAGAGGACTGGTAAGATGTTTATATGCATCAGTTCCTGCTCAAGCTTTGCTTGTGTAACCTCTTATGTGTTACTTGCCTCTGCCTACGTGCAGATGGCAAGTACGTGGATGGTGGTGGCCTCAGACCTTAATTCAGGGCTGTGGTGTGTTCCTCCTGCAATTTTTGCCTTCCTCTTTCATCTCCTCTACTTCTTTCCTCCCCTGCTTGTCTTGAGAGAAGAGTTGATGGTATTAGATGCAGCGTGAGCTTTTGTGCAGAGGACCAAGGGTCACATGAATTTTGGACTCTGTTGCACAAGAATTTCTTGTTGCATGGCTTGTAATTAAAGCACATCATTTGCAAGCAGAGTTGATAATGAGAAAAATTATTCTCACCATGGATTGCTTTAAAGGAGGCACAGCACAAGAGGGTAGGCAGTGTTGTAACTGCAAAGGCTACAAAGCACATTTTAAAGTCATACTGTTCTCTGGATGGCCCTCTAAAAATATGCTTTGGCTTGACCACAAGAAAAAGGTTTGATACAGGAATTGTTGAGAGGAATTTCGTGGCCCGTGTTGCTAAAGTTGCTAAGGTTGCTAAGATAAATGATCACAGCTTTTTAGTATTCAGACTGGTGGATTTATGAAACAGAGCTAAAAGTGTTGCTTTGGTTTACTGGAATAGATTCTCCCAAATCGTCCTCTCACAAACATCCCAATCCATAAGTGAGTAATGCTTGTCCAGAAGAGGGAGAGGGACAAAAATGCTCCCTTAGGTGCGAATTTTAGCTCCTCAAGTCCTACAAAGCAGTACACACCAATGAATGGAACAGTAAATGTGCCATTTTCTCATTTTCTAAGCATTATGGTGACTACAAGTGACTTGGTCTTTTTTGTTTCATTTTTTTACTCATCTTGTTGCTAGAACCCAGAGGGTACCTTCAGATGCAAGAGGGTATTTCAGCGTCCTAGCTCCTGGCAGTATCTTGATACCATTTACATTGTATCGCCAGTATGAGCGACATCCTGTAAATTGAGTTAACGCTATTGATTGTGATGTTACTGCCAGGAATATCAAACATGCATAACCCCACTGCAGATGTAGTTCAGATATTCTGAGCTGGTGCCAGATGGTCTGCTCCCCGTCTTGCTACTATTTTCTTTCTGCTACAGCTGGAGGGGGGATCCATTATTGTTATAAATACACACGGACACAGCAAATAACATTCTCATGGCTGTGCCACACTAAGGCTTTTTATATAGGGCAGCTGCAAATTTCGAATGAGGGACCAGCTGAAAAGCATGATGTGAAGAACAGGCAGTGCAGATACCATACTGTGGTGGGGCTGGGTTTTGATGCTGGGAGCAATAGCCAGGCCTTAGAAGAGCTTGTCTTGCAAGTGCAGGTTGGGTGGAGAGCAGTGCAACTGCTTCACTGACAGATGAAATCTTAGGTGGGTGCACAAGGACTGCACATGTAGTGGCCAAGATCTTCAGATGTGCTTGCTACCCTTGGAGGAGACCATTAAGCCTCACCTAACTGCCTCTCTACTACATACACCCTTAGGGAGTTTGAGGTTCCCGTGACTGCTGCTCAGCCAGCCTGGCTCATTCCTAGGACTCTACCACTTAACAAAAAGCTCTGTGTGGTGGAGGACAATTTGAAAGCAATTTATGCGGTCCTGAATTTTGGAGCCTTCTGAAATGCAATGCCAGCCTGATGCAGCTCTTCCTGTACTGCTCATCTAGGACTAAAGATCACAAAACCAACTTTCCTGCTAACCCCATAGCCTTCTTTTTAAAACACAGGATGTTTTCAAATCATGAGACAGTGCCTAGAACGAATGGCATCTGTGACATTCAGTTCTTGGAGTCCCACAGTGAAGCACTGTGGTTTTCCACATAGCAGATATCTGCTTCCACCCTCTTTTAGTCAAGGAGTCTTGGGAGTAGAGGGTGTGAAGATGGGCTACTGGAACTCTTTTGGCAGAGATGCAGACCCTTGTGGCTTGAAATGTGAGCTGCATTCTTCTGAAAATTGTAATGGTTCAAAATGGGAACTGCTGGGCTTGGAGCCCTGCTGTAAATCTGCCCCAACTGGGGAGAACAAGTTACTTTCTTCAATTCTGCCCTCATTTATTAATTTCTGCCTTTCAAGAGGGCAGGCAGTACATGTGCATACCACTTGTTTTAGATATAAAACCATAGATGGTTTGTATTTGAAATCAGTGCAACATCTCCCCTGGTTTTAATTTACATACTCTTGGGCTGACATTTTAAATTCCTGGCAGAAATGTGGCCACACTGAGAAACGGCTAGACCCAGACAGTATTGAATGATATATGAGATGGTTGTTCTGCCTCTGCCTTGAAGCCATCCATCAATTAGCATTCAAAGTCTCTTTTGAAATACAGTCAGACGTCTATTACTGTAATACAAATTTGTGGTCTAGCACATGCCTTTTCATTTAAAAAGAAACCAACATCTGAATAAACAAAATCAGTGCACTCCATGAAGATGCCAGAAAGCCCTGTAGGTTGCTTTTTGTGGACTTAGCTTAGGCTCCAAGAGTTTCCTGCCATATAACCTACCGACTGCAACTGAGCTTTGAACAAGTACAGCCTGACAGTCTGGTCCCCTGGTTGCAGCAGTGCCTTGGCTTCCTAGATTCACTTTGCAGTGACCAAAAATTAGGTTATTCAACACGTCCCATAGAAAATATGGAAGATAGCGGGTTCAGTGGGTTTGCCTCTTATACGCAGAATTAGGGGGTGGCAGGATTCTACATGAGCTTATTGCTGGTCCCAAAGTTCTGTATTTAACTCTAGCTGCATTTGGGAAAAAGGCGAGAGGAAGAAAAGCCTTGTGTTCTGTCTCCCGTAGGTGATTAAAGCTGTGGAGGAAGGCTATCGCCTGCCAAGTCCCATGGACTGCCCTGCTGCTCTTTACCAACTGATGCTTGACTGCTGGCAGAAAGACCGCAACAGCAGGCCCAAGTTTGACGAAATTGTCAGCATGTTGGACAAGCTCATCCGTAACCCAAGCAGCTTGAAGACGTTGGTTAATGCATCGAGCAGGTACAAACTCAAGCCAGAACCATTTCTCAGAGCAAGCTCCTTGTCTGAATACCCACCTCTGGGGTTGAATTCTCTCTGATTATTTAGCCTGTGTGCATCTGTGGGTGGATGCTCCTCCAGCTTCATTATTTCCAGGAGAGTTTTCTCAAATCAACTTTTTTTGTTGCAGTCAGCAGCCAGGTGAGCAATTCACTTACTCTAAATGCAGTGCTGCCACCACAAAGAAAATTACTGTGGTCTGTCTTTTGGAAACAGGAGTTTCAGCAGTGCTCTACCGCGAGGTTAGAGACAGCAAGACTTGAGTGCATGAAGTAGATAGTAAATGCTGCTCAAATTATCTGCCTATTGACTTTATTTTGGTAATACAAATGAAGAGCATCTCTTGGGTAAACTTTTTGGATGTGCAAAGCTCATAGATATCCAGGTATATACTTCAACAACTACTCCCAGGCGTGCTAGCCGCCACTAGAAGTTGTGAGAGACTTGGTAATCATGAGAGGATCTTTGTGGTTTCCAACACACTCAAACACTTAGCTAAAACCACATTAAATAAATACAGCAGCCAGTTTGCATTTAAACATGAATCTGAATAGCTACACAGCTACAAGTAAAGTAAGCACAGTCAAGAAATAAAGCTGACCTTGGGGAAAAAGAGCTAAATATTTTTTGTGAGTTTTAGTACTGGGGCATCTCCACCATACTGGAGTTGTGGACAGGCTTTTCCTACGAGCCCTCAGTGTTGCTAATCACTCAGTCCCTTGCAAGGTCATGAAGGAGTAACGAATATAAATATCAGTGATGCTTCAGTGACGGCAGTGGAGCTCCCCTAATTAACACTGGATAAGGGCATTCAGAAAGGCTTATTCTCAGAGGAGGGGGAAAAAAAAAAAGAGGCATTTTTTTTCTAGGACAGGTATGAGGGAAATAAGATGAGGTTAGACTGGTGGTGTGGACCAAAACAGATGTACTATTGTAAGCTTATCATCATTTGTCTTCACACCTTCCAGGTGGGTCTTACACAGCTACATGTGGCCCATCTCACCTGTTGCAGCTGGACATCCCCACAGTGGCATCTCCCCACATTTGGCATTTCATGTACTAAAGGAGAAGAACCTGAAATCTCTGTTAATTTTTAAATACAGGATGGATCTGATTCCTCGGGCTATTTTACAAGCATCATTTACTGTCTGAAGAAGAAATTATTCTTATTAGCAATTAGATGTAATGTCAGTGCCAGCAAACCTGCAGGAAAAGGTTTATGACAGCATAAAATATGTTATGTTTTTCTTTTATTTTCAGTTCAGAACAGTTATTTTCCAGGCCTGTTATGCAGTGGCTTATGCACTCTTTATGCCAAACTGTTATGCCAGAAAAGGGGAAAGTAGGCAGCAACCATTTCCTTGAGCTGCTAAGTACTTTGATGATGTTTTATTCCATGAACAGGTCCCTGCAATTCCAATCCTCTGTCTTTCAGAGCTGCTGTGAGTATTTTTGATATGGATGGAGCACCTGAACAGCCAGGCTTTGGGGCTATATTTCCATACTCATAGGTTGCTATGCCCAGACCATAGTAATTCAAAATGAATCATAATTTCAACGTAGAGCAGCTGTAAAGGATTTTTTTATATATGTAATGTGTTCTTTATGGAAATTCTCATTAATGCAAATAAGGGAGGAACTCACTCTCTACATTACAGCGTGTGCATATCATAGGTACCTCCTGACATTAGTGATGAAAATCCACTTCTCATTATGATTACTTAGGAGTTTTGAATTTCTCATGTGTATAAAATGTTATGGGAAGCCATTATGTTCTTGGTACTGCAAGTATTCACATTTTATTGGACCCTTCAGCATTGCTATTAAGTAAACAAATAATACTAATGTGCTCATAAAATATATGAAGATTCCTGAAGTGCTATAATAATATAATATCCCAGATCCCCTTCTAGTTGAAAGTCTTATAAATGTAATGCTCACCATCAGAGGCTGACCCAGAAAATGTTTTTTTACCTGTGGGTAATAATCTCCACGCAAGGCTTATGTTAGCTGTATGTCCCGCTTTACAAAGCAGGCAGCAAATCTAGTTTCTTTCCTGGCTGACCTTGGACAAGCCCTCTCTGCTCTCTACACATCATTAGTAGGGTGGTGGACCTGTCCGTGGCACGAGTCACTTGTGCTAGGTACTCTGTCGATGCTTCTGCCACAGTTAAGGGTTATTATTTGCCTGAATTGCTTCTTCCGTGCATGGCATAACTGAGCAGGTAGCAATTGCCATGGCGAGGTCTGGAGTGAGGGAGCAGTCTTCCTCTGGTTGCAGGGCTGGAGCATGGTTGGAGCATTGCTGCTCTCTGCAGGGCTCACTGGATGTTGTCCGCATCCGAAACCCCCACATGACTGTGCAGGAGCAGCCTCTGAAGTGTTAACAGCAGCCTACCATTGATGGACACTGCCGGGAAATGTAATTTGGGTTTCAGCTTCCAGGCTCCGGGCTGCCTTAAGTTAATTATGAGCTTTAAAGGCAGAGGAAGAAAACAGAGCAGGAGGAGTGAAACTGAAGACTGAATTAAGAGTGACTGGGGGAGCCTGCTTATAGCCAAGAGGTAACAGGGATCACAGAATCACGGAATATGCTGAGTTGGAAGAACCCACAAGGATCATCGAATCCAGCTCCTGGCTCTGCACAGGACCATCTACAAGAGTCACACCATGTGCTCAAGAATATTGTCCAAATGTTTGTTGAACTCTGTCAGTCTTGGTGCTGTGACCACTTCTCTGGGGAGCCTGTTCCAGCACCCAGGTGCCCTCTGGATGAAGAACCCTTTCCTAATATCCAACCTAAACCTCCCCTGACACAACTTCAGGCCATTCCCTTGGGTCCTGTCACTGGTCAACACAGAGAAGAGATCAGTGCCTGCCCCTCTTCTTCCCCTCAAGAGGAAGTTGTAACTGCAATGAGGGCTCCCCTCAGTCTCCTCTTTTCCAGGCTGAACAGACCAAGTGACCTCAGCCACTCCTCATACGGCTTCTCCTCGAGGCCCTTCACCATCTTCATTGCCCTCCTTTGGACATTCTCCAGTAGCTGAATATCATTCTTATCTTGTGGTACCCAAAACTGCACACAATATTCAAGGTGAGGTCACCCCAGTGCAGGGCAGAGCAGAACAATCCCCTCCCTTGACCAGCTGGCCATGCTTTGCCTGATGCCCCCTTGAGTCCCTCCTGGCTACCAGGGCACTGCTGACCCACATTCAACTTGCCATGAACCAGGACTACCAGGTCCCTTTCTGTGGCACTGTTCTCCAGCATCTCATTCTCCAGTCTCTATGTACATCCAGGGTTGCCCCATCCCAGGTGTAGAATCCAGCACTTCCCCTTGTTGAACTTCATATGGTTGGGGATTGCCCAGCCCTCTAATTTGTCAAGGTCTCTCTGCAGGGCCTCACTGCCTCTGAGGGAGTCAACAGCTCCTCCCAGTTTTGTGTCATCTGCAAACTCGCTTAGTATCCCTTCCAGTCCTGCGTCGAAGTCATTCATAAAGATGTTGAAGAGCACAGGGCCTGAGGTGGAGCCCTAGGTGACCAGTCCACTAGTGACCACATGCCAGCCTGATGTAACCCCATTCAGTATTACTCTTAGTGCTCAGACCCGTGAGCCAATTGTTCACCCACCACATAATGTGTTTATCCAGCTGTGCTGGACATTTTGTCCAGAAGGATACTGTAAGAGACGACATAGAAAGCTTTACTGAAATCCACAAGGACCACTTCAGTTGTCTTCCCTTGATCAACTGGGTGGGTTACCTTGTTATAAAAGGAAATCAGGTTTGATAAGCAGGACTTTTCTCTCATGAAGCCATGCTGGCTTACTAATGACAATGTTGTCTTTCAGGTCTTTTTCAATATGTCCCAGAATAATCTTCTCCATAACTTTACCAGGCACTGAAGTGAGACTGACAGGCCTGCATATTCCAGGGTCCTCCTTCTTGCCCTTCTCAAAAATTGGAACAATGTTCACCAGCTTCAAGTCAGCTGGAACCTCTTCAGACTTCCTAAGACTGCTCAAAAATCACTGAGAGAGGTTTTACAATTACATCAGCCAGCTCTCTGAGGATTCTTGGATGAATCTCATCAGATCCCTTAAATTTGTAGGGATCCAGCTGGAGCAGCAGATCTCACACAATTCCAGGGTCAACTGGGAGTTGATCATTCTCGCAGCCATGGTCCTCCAGCTCAGGGCACTGAGACCCCCTTGGTCTGTCATCCACGTTGAAGACAAAGGCAAAGAAAGTGTTAAACACCTCTGCCTTGTCTTTGTCGCTGTTTGTGAGGTGACCATCTTCATCCTGTAAAGGGATGATGATATTTTACACTGCCTATGACCATTAATATATTTGAAAAAACTCTTTTTATTGTCCTTCACGTTTCTGGCCAGCTTCAACTCCAGCTGAGCTCTGGCTTCATGAATTTTCTCCCTACAGTGGCAAGCAGAATCTCTGTATTCTTCCCATGTCACCTGACCTTGCTTCCACTTGGCATACACCTTCCTTTTTTGCTTTAGCTCTGAAGGAGATCACTGCTCAGCCAAGCTGGTCTTCTGCCTTGCCTGCTTGACTTCTGACATTTGGGAATTGCCTGTTCCTATGCCCTTAGGAGGTGATGTTTGAAAAGTGACCAGCACTGATGGACCCCCAGCAATCTTCCCTCCTCTTTCTGCTTTTGGTGAGGACCAGAAATGGCAGCAACTCAAAAGTGAGTGAAGTTACAGGTGAAGTGGTGTGTTTGATACATTGCATAACAAGCCTGCTGAGAGGATTTAGGCTGCAGCAATCACTGAAAATGGAACAAGAGAATCATCTTTACCATGTAAAAATACAAGTAACTTGAGTCATGTTGTGTACATCTCGATACTGATTCTGTTTGCTTTTTTGTTTTTGCTTGTCTTTAGAGTATCAAATCTGTTGGTAGAGCACAGTCCAGTTGGGAGTGGTGCCTACAGGTCAGTGGGTGAGTGGCTGGAAGCCATCAAAATGGGCCGATACACAGAGATCTTCATGGAGAATGGATACAGTTCAATGGATGCAGTGGCTCAGGTGACTCTAGAGTGAGTAGTGCTCAGATCATTTTCACCTCGTTTGTTGGAACTGCAAGGGGAAGGTGGGGGGAAGACAAACCATTCAAATCCCATGCAGGGATGAGACTGCAGAAAGGGAAAATATTACCCTTTGTTTGCAGTCAGCAGTTTCTCTTGTAGCATCTCTATTGATGATAACAAGTGCAGGCAAGACTAAAACTTACAGTCACTACCTTGGCAGCCAGTACCCTGGCTCTTTTACTCACAGATATTAATTCATGAGTTTGAGTAATTGCCAGGCCATCCTCTCAAGAAAATAGCAGTTGATTATTTGGGGTTACCAACAAATAAAATCCCCACCCTACTAGTAAATGTAAAGGTGCTAGAGTCCCTGCTGAGATATACCAGCTTCACACCAGATTAGCTGGTTTCACGGTTGATCTGGATGTAGCCAAGTGGACAGTCAAGCCCAGTAAGGCGTGGAAATACTATTCAACAGTAACAGAAATAGATACAGCCAATGCCAACAGAAGAGCATCAGCAAACTCACAGCTCTAGGGGACAGACTTCCTGGCTGAGACTCTTTCTTCTGAATGTTTGGTTTTTGCACATGGGTATAAACTACAGTTGGGGCAACAGCACTAAAATGACTTGGTAAATGCCTTGGGGCTGATAATTTGTTATGCTCAACCTTTAACTGCCTGACTTGCTTATGTAATTATGCCAGACTTTTCTCCTACTGCCTGCCACTTTCTCAAACTCGCCTCAAAGCCTGCCTTTCTAGCTGGGTTAATTTGAGCTTAGTTTACTGCAGGCATTAGGGCAGAATCACACTCTGCACTGCCTGGGAGAAGGTTGTGTCTCCTCTGACCACATGCAGATTACCAGTGCACTTACAGAATTGGCGCCGAGGGTTAAGAATAAAACAAGAAAAATCCCCACCCCCCTCAGAACTGCAGCATTTCCTCCTGTCTGCCACAGGGCCTGCTGTGGAGCTCACCATACAGCACAGGAGGTGCTTTGCCTGTGATACAGGTCGGTAATATCTCTGTGGAGTTCAGTTTCTCATTACGTACGTGGAGGGAGTGCAGGAGCATATCTGCTCTTGCACTGATTTTATTTGCTTCACTCACATCATCAGTATTTGCCCCTTACACCTGGACTCATCCAGTCTTTCTTCAGGCATTCACATGAAAACCCTGAGCTAGGGATGAAATCCTCTCTAGCAACTGTCCAAGAATGCACAGTGCATGGATTTCTACCTAGATCCTTTTTTGAGTTCTGACATTCTTACATGTTCCCAGCCTAGTCCTGTGATTACATGCCATGTTACTTTGGCTTTTGAGGACTGCGCAGTTTAGGCCTGGTAATCTACAAATATTAACCAAGGAAGAGGACCATCCCCAGGATGCCCACATAGCAGCAATCCTTAGTGTTTGAGTGGGAAGAAGAGGGATAGGATGAAGCAGTAATTAGAGAAAAGGAGCATTCTCCTCTACTATACCACCTCAATCTTATAACCAGAGCAAATTCTGGTGGAAAATGCAAACTGTCTAAAATAAATCACAGATTTTTTTGCTGTTTAGCTGAATTAGCCATGTCAGAAAAGAAAACTAGGCCTCTAGTTTGTTCCTCTTTAGAATTTTATGTAATTTCAAGAGCTCTAAAGGAAATGCTCAGAAGTTAAATGCATTGCTTTGGATCAGAGAAAATGTTGAGTTTAAGCCCAAGTTAGTGGGCTTTTTTGACAGCAAATTAGAAGTTACTCATGTAACTTCAAACAGTCTTACCATCCCTCTGTGCTGACGCAGTCTTAGCTTTTCATGCTGCTGACAAAACTATTCCTAACCTCCCAATTCCTCAAGTGCAACATTTCAGATATGAAGTTTTTTCTAAATTTGACTTTCCCTTTGTTTACTCTTCTGTATTCCAGAAATTTCAGAAATATCCCCCAAAATCTTTTCACTCTCCCCAAAATGAGTTTCAAAATGGTTGTTCTAATTGGCAATGAACCAAGGAACCCATTATCTGTACAGTGCTAGCCAGAAAGGGAAGTTGGTCTAAAAGTCTTCAAGGAGATAATAGCTGCCAGAGATGCTCTGATTTCCAGCTGCAAACCACCTCTAAGGCCCCCTCACCAGGTCCCTGTTATGTTCTCTGTAGCACAAGTGTCATCCTGCTCACCCCAGTGGAGACAACATATCTGAGCTGCTCAGCTTCAGCTTGCTTCTGGGCTTTTGCAGCAGCAGAACAGTGCAAAGGAACTGATGTCTGAGAGCCTAGGGAGCTTCTGGATTTTGGTTGTTTGAGGTTTTTTTTAAACTGAAAGGAAGCATTTCATGGATCCGTCTTGCATTTCAGTTGAAAGTGAAAAAAAGGTTGGAACTTATTCCAGCTAGTTAGTTATCCATGCCAGCAAATAAATTCCCTGTCCCTACCCCAGCTGCCTGTGGACAGAGGTGCTTGAAGAGATGCTTGCTTGGTTCTTCTCTCTCTCAGCCCACACACCTTTATGTTGCAGTGGTGGCTTAGCAAGAAGGCTTGATCCCACTCTGGTCTATTTTAGGGAAAACTGTGGAAGACTAATTAAAAAGCCAGCTAGCCATCCAAATCAGAACTTCTCTCATCCCTCTCAGATATAGTAAAAAAAGACAAAAGACCAGATTCCCAGCTGTTAAAAAAAAGAGAAAACATCGTAGTGGCTAAAGAGGGAAAGCGTCACATATTGAAGGCCTGAACCACATGCTCCGATTGATGTAAACTGGCAGATTGACCTTAAAAAACAAAGTAAGGGAGAAAAGTGGCTCCTGATGGGATCAGCTGAGACTCTCGTGGGTTCTCCAGAAAATAAACAGAACAAGCAAAGTTCTTTAAAGGTTGATATACTGGTGGTATATTTTTTTCTCCCTGTAAAAGGGAACAACAAAACATTTTGTACTCTGCAAAGGAGAATTCAGGTTAAATGTTCCTTGTCATTTTTAATAGAGGCAACTGTTCTGTATATTCCAGAGCTGGGACTTGGGGGGATCAGGTGAAAAGATGATCTGAGCATCTGAAAGAAGCTTGCTTTCCCCAAACGACATCAGTAAAACAGTCAATTTAAGAAGTTGCCTTCAAATACCATTCAAAATGATCTTCACCAAGGATTCAAACTGTGTAGGAGATAGATGTAGAAATTAGATAGAGATAGATGTAGAAATTAGATAGAGAAAGGAGAACTGGATAATTGCTGCCAGAAAAGGCAGGAGAAAATAATATTATGAATGTAAAGAATTCCTAAAATCTGCTGAAAAAAAAATTACTAGTGCTGTAGGAGGGGTTGGCCATAACGCTCACAGGACTGGAGACTGTGGGTGCCCAACTTATGGCTTCTATACAGGATATGGTTGAGATAAGGTTGAGATAGTAAATGTTTAGCTTTTTTTTTTTTTAATCTTCCTTCCCCTGTCATGCAAAGCAAAATCCTGATTACCACCCTGATTCTTTCAGACTAACGGCTTGCTGCATTTATTTCAGAAAAGAGTAGCATTAGTGAAAAATTTCTGCAAGCAAAAGATTAAAAAGCTAACACTGATGAATATCGCCCCAAGTCCTAAGCTCTGCCTGCTTAAGCAAAGACCTGAAAATGTATATGTTCAGACAAAGAGTGATTTCTATATTTAGCTCTAATTCTTGCAAAGGGATGAATCACCTTGTGAAAAGTGGAGCCTCACCCTCCACCCCCTCTTTCCAACTGGATATCAGACTTGAAGGGAACCTTTCCAGTGGACCAGACCTGCTCTTTAAACTTGTGGACCACCTAGTGACTTTGAGTGTGTCTGGAGCTCTTTCAATCCACTGCAAGAATAACTTTACCAGGACAATACTCAAGAATAGATAGATCCATGATATGAGTTTCAGTCTGACCCTTGACTGGACCAGTTACTAACCATGTGGACTACATATTTTCACCTTTTGAAAGATCTGTACTCACTGAATCTCAGGACACACCCTGTTGTTTGTTATTAGATGAAGAGCTCTGAATATTTGTAATAATATGTGCTGTGTTGCTTTGCATTGTATATATTTTTCTTCTAAAATAAAATAAATTATTTATTAAACATTATACTGAATGAAGAGCATTTAAGAGCTCACCTGCTCTAGATGCTTATTCTTAACCTGAAATCTCAGTCCTGAGATTGTGATGCTGTGTCCGCTTTTGAACAAATTCTCATCTTGTAATCAAGTAGAATGGGAATTATGAATAAGAGCAGATGAACTCTTAAAAAAATTTTTTTTAAGTCCTCATTTCATGAAAAATTCTCTAGCAAGTGGATTCCTCTCTCTTTAGCATCGTCTGAAGGTCTTTGAGGTTCTTCTTGTTTCCCCTCCATTCGAACTGACAACTAACTAACTCCATGAGTAGTCCCAATCTGCATGAGCAATTGTAGTAATACCATGCTCAGAAGAGTGGTGAAATCTGGCCTGGATGGGAGATGAAATACAAAACATCTGTGGTAGGTTGATGGCTGCCAACCACAGAGATCATTCAGGAACCTGTCCCTTTTTCTTGCATGACTAACCAGCTGGTGAGGGGGTTGTATTTTATGTGGAAATCCAGTCCTAGTCTACACTGTGTTTGGCAAAGTGGTCCATGGTGTGTAAGTAGTTCTATTTGTAAATAAAATGTTTTAAATATATTTCTTGCAACATGGAGACTGTGAATTCAACCCTTGAAAATGGAGGATATTGCAGGGAAGGGGATACCGTGTTGTCACTGTCACATTGCAGCTGGACTTCTGTGTAAGGCTGTGATAAGAGAACAGCATGTGTGCAGCTGTATACAGGCTGTTTGGGATGAGCCCACACCAATTTTCTCCTTTATTTCCTTGGCTTTTTGGTCACCTTAGATCAGCCTTTTAGTACTGTGTTGACAAGGGATTCGAATTCCTGCCTGCTTTCATTTTCAGCCCTATGTGACTGAAAGAAATGAAAAGGGGAGATTTTCTCCTTAAAATATGAATAAAAGTTGTCTCATGGCTGGGGAGGTCAAGTGCTTTGAAGCAGGGAGGCCACGCAGCACATGGGTGCACGTATCTCTGCTACAGCAGCACACACAAAGCCCAGCATGAGGGGTCAGGTCACTCCCACAGCAAGGTGCAGCCTGCATCCTGATTGCAAGTGTTGTTTGCCCACAGGTCTTAGCTGTGCCTTTTCTTCTTCTGCAGAGCTGAGCCCAGTGAAATTACCACTTGGCTGCAATAACATGAGCCAGGCAGCTCTGGACTGGAGCTTGAGAACAGCTGCTTTGCAGCCATTTCGTACAGAAGTTGTTGGGAGGTTTTTGTCCCCAAACAAGCTGGTTTGCTCACCCAATTCTGTTTAAAATTGGCTTCTGCCTTATGCTGCTTCAAGTCCTTCAGCACTGGATGCATGGGAGGGTTCAATGTCCTGTAAGTCACGCTTAAAAATGGGAATTAAAGCTCCTATGTTCTCTGGGCAGTTTTTGGAAAGTTTTTTTTGTTGTCTTTGCTATGCGCAAGGTGGCTTTTGAATAAAGCTGCTGATTTTATACTAGGTGAGCATCTGGCTCAGGAGCTTTGTCTGCTGGTTGATCTGTGCAGAGGTGAAAGATCCCAAGGCAGTGTTTTTCGCCTCTCTGAGGAGTCCCCATGCCTTTGGCTGGTGGCTTCACGTTCGAGAGGATTTGGTGTTCAAAAAAAGTAGACTGGATCCCCTGGTGAGCAGCTAATGGATTGAAACCAGAAACTCTTTCTTTCTTCTTTCTCTCTTGTAAATCAATGAGGCACTCCTCAAGAATATTGAGTTAAGGAGATACTATATGGCGGGGGAAAAAAGGCTGTGTAGTAAGTAAGGTGTTTTTTTATTAGACTGATGAGGCTGTGTGTGAAATGCCAAGACATACATGCCTTTCTCAAGGTTTCAGGCTATTTTTTTCAGCATAACGTGCAAGAGTATCAGAAATTATACATTCTGAGGTACATGGTACTGGATTTTCAAAAGAACTCAGCTTGCACTTTAGATACCTGAAAAACAAAGCTGAATTTTCAAAAAGTGCCAGCAGAGCAGCACTCAGCAGGGGGAAGATGGATGTTGGCTCTTTTAAAAATCAGGTCCTGTACTGTGTTGGTTTTTGATTTTGTTGGGATTTTTTTGTTGGGTTTTTTTTTATCTTTGGTGTGAACTTCCAACTGTGCTGTGTACATAAAATAAATTGCATGTAACAATAGCATTACTTCATTTTCCTTCATTATTAAGATGGCTTACTGAACTAGTTTCACAAATCAGTGGAGGCAGAAATGAAAGCATGTCCCCCTGAGAAGGTAGACACATTTTACAAGTGCTGCAGCCTTTTCTCTGTCAGGTAAGGAGCACTGCTGATGTGTCTCATTGACCTCCTTTGCTCCATGCCCCTTACATTGCGATTTCATTTTGCATCGTTGAGATGTGCTGCTGAAAAAGGGTACAATAATGAAATTATGTGTTTAGCCTGAAGCAAAAAATCTGGTATTTTCCAAATCAAAAGGCTGAAAACATGACAGTCCTTGGAGAACAACAGATCTAGCTTTTGGCTTCAACTAGTTTATGTGTTAATGTATTAGCCTTCACTCAGGATTGCTTTCTATTCAAACCACTGTTCATCTGTGAATTTTTGGACATGGATGGTTGGTTGTACTTGCAGAGGAGTTTCTGTCCAGAATGTGAAGCTGCTGAGAGAGGTACACCTCCATAGGCAGCTCATGCATTGTGTGAAAATATTTTGGTGGCCATTACACATGTACACCTGCAGTCCAGCATTTTGCCATGCTGTGAATTGTAGGCCACATTTGCAATATGTCTCAGGGGATGGTTGGGCTCCCAGGTGTTGCTGGTGATCCCCAGCGTTTGCATGGATGTGCCAGCATGGTTTCCAAAAAACAGCTGCGTATTCAAGGAAGTCAGGTCTCGTTGGCTTTTGGTGGAGAGCTTTCTCCTAAAAGACTTGCCCACAGCGTGTCAGCAGTCTCGGATTCATGAGTGTATTGGCAGGACAGTAAGGCCCAACTTTGAAACATCCTTTATTCAGTTCAGTCTGGAAGTAGAAAGCTGATATTTCTCTTTTGGAAGTCTTCAGACAAAAGACCATGTCTCCTGTAAGTCAAACTGCTTCTCTAGCAGTTTCTTTGTCTTGTGCTGGAAACATACATGCAACTGTCTTGATGTTTCTTCTGAGCTTTTATTCCTACAATTTCTTTGTTAACACTTTTCCACCTAGTAAGAAATCTACACAGTTATATTCTGCCATAACCAATGGCCTTAGCTGTCTTTAGATGGATCATTGAATCTAATCACCCAAGGTCCTGCTGTAGTATCTCTAGGAGATGACTTGTTCCACTCCTGTCTTTGGATGGAATAATTTGTCCCCTGGAGGTGCCTCTTTCATGCCATTCATGTGAACCTTGGTGATGGCCTTCAACTATTTAGAGGGCTGAACTCATGAGAATAGAAACTTTTCTTCTGATTCTGCATTTTACATAAGCTAGCTTATTTTACAGCTCTCCTGAGATGGCAACCCAGTAGGCAGACTCAACACAAGTGCCTTTGGCTTATAGAATTCACCCAAAGCAAAAAATATTAAATGTGGGTTTATGGGAAGATTTGCAAAAACCCAGAGGGGAGCTGATTTTCCAATTCCTGTTGACTTTAGGGGGTCATCAGGCTGGTGGCCATGCTTGAGGCTTTTGCCATCTGTGTTTCTTTGGCTTTGCCTTATCTGAAGAGAAAGGAAGCATGGATTGACCTCACTTCTTACTCACCCTGTCTGAGATCAAATACCAACCTCTCCCATGAGAAGAGGAAACTGCAGCCCAGGCTTTCTTATATGGCTTTTCTCTTGGAAATAGGACTTTTCATGCCTAGCAGAATCCTTGGCCAAAGATGATGCTGACACTTTGCTGTCCGGCCTTTCTGCTTGGCCAGCGAGGTGATCTCGTTCAAATCACATCACCTCTCTGAGACGCTGTCAACCATTAAAAAAATTTTTTACAAGTGGGGAAAATAAAACTTGCCAACTGAACTTGGCTTCGGGAGCTGCCAGTGGTGACAGGTATGCGCTGGCAGCAGCCTCAGCGCGTGCAGAGCGTGGTGTGCGTGGTGGCATGTGCCTGAGAGGTCCATGGAACCAACGTCTGCTTTCTCCCACAGGGATTTGAGACGCCTGGGAGTGACACTTGTTGGTCACCAGAAGAAGATAATGAACAGCCTTCAAGAGATGAAGGTCCAGTTGGTGAATGGGATGGTGCCATTGTAACTCGGTTTTAAAGTTGCTTCCTCAAGTGGGTCGGTCCTGCACTTTGTACACTAGCCCTGAGATTTATTTTGACTAAAAAAAAACACAAGAAAAGATAAAAAGGGAAATTCAGTGGTTCCTATAACTGAAGGACATTGGCCTCTGACGCAGCGTTTCTAAAGCAGTGTTTGACTAAAGTTTTCCTTCCTATTTGTGTTCTCATTTTCATGAAGTCAGTGTAAGATGCATGGAACATGGAAACGAATCTGCTGTGTACATGAGGTTAACCAGTCTCTTAAGCTTCAGCGGTGATAACAACAAGCCTCCCCACCACACGTTGTCGTACGTGGGAGGTACACATATAGCACCTTTACATACTGAATTACAGCAGCACATGGTAATACTTCCAAGGACTGACTTGAGCAGAAGATTTTTGTAGCCGTTCATGGGCTCCCAATAGCTGCAGTTTGCTGAAGTTTAACTTCAAGTCTTACTTGTCTACAGAAGTGTATTGAAGAGCAATATTAGATTATTTCTCAATAGATATTTTGTTCTGTAAATTTAAAGAAAAGAAAAAAATGCTGTTACACAGCATTAAGTTATAGAGACTAGCATATAAACGTTGCTTGCTCCATGGCAAATACAATACAGGGTGTATATATATTTTTTTTCTTTCCTCTGTGTTACCAAGTTCTTTTTTTTTGCTCTTCGGGGAGGATAATATGTGATGAAGATGTATATACTGTACAGTTTGCTACGCATCAGGTACAAGAGTGGGGCTCTTTCCTTGGTTTATTCTTTTTTTCCCCTCTTTCACTTTGTTTTGTCTCCCTTTTGTGTTACCCCTATGCTTTGTATTTTTGCTGCTGTTTCATTTGAGCAACATGTAACACCTTCAGAAGTTTTGATTGCGTATATGAGGTAGAAGGACTCTGCTTAAATAAAAGATGTTGCCCCCTCTTCCTTCCCACTATGGGCTGGGGACATCCAGAAGAAAAGTTCTGGTTCTTGGTGGCCTCCAGCAACAACATGGCATCGATTTTCCTGTGTCCTGGGCAAGTGTGGGCTTGCCTCTGCACCAGCATTTTAGCCCAGTAGCTGCCATCCAGTGCAGCCATCACCTCTGTTCCCAGAGCCCAGGAGAGAAAGCATGAGGGAGTTTTAGCTGGAAGGAAGGGATTTTACTGTTCCTCTACTCATGATGGGGGTTAAGTCCTGGATCACAGTGTGCAAAGGAACTCATGGTAATCCAGCACGGAGATTTTGTAGTATTTCTTCCACGGTGGAGGTGGGATTATTTTTGGAGCTGTGCTGTCCCAGGTTGTCTCTCCATGGATTTTTGGTTTGGCTATGGACCTGGTCATTTGGGGGCAGAGCACAGAGGGGAGGTAAGAGCGGAGCGGCCCAACATGGTCACAGTGATGGCATCCTGAGGGTGAGGAGATCCCATTTATCTGGGAATGAGTGGCACCCGAGCATGGCTCGAGTCACCACTAGGTTGTAGCTGAGGCTCAGTGTGTCCATTAATGCCTATGGCTGCTATTTTCAGAGGGACCTAAGGGCAATCCGATCCCCCAGGAATCACATCAAGAAACAGTTTGGGGCTGTCCTTCTCCTTTTTTCTGTATATGAGATTAATCAGCACCGTTAATTTGGTTTTCATAAGTTGGACTTCTATTTTGTGAAGACTTTGATAAAAATTTTTTTTTGCTGTTTCTGTAGATGTATTGCTTCCTTAGAGGTTGGGTAGCATCTTGGGGCATCCTTCCTTGGCAATAACATCAGTGTACTGAGTTGCTGTGGCTCCCTTTGTCCCCAGTGCTGCAGAGCAGAGCCCAGGTAGCTCTTGCAGTGCCTAAAGGAGACCTGTGTCCTTCATGTCTTGCAGAGGCAGGTGTTGCAAGACACCTTCAGCTGTTTCAAAGTCTTTCTTCCATTTCCCCTAAGCATTTGCATAAGATTTGATACAAAGAACGTTTTTTAAAGGAAAGGGAAATGTCTAAGAAAAGAGGGCTGAGTGTGGTTTTTTTTCTTAGCAGCAGGGCTTCTTTAGGCAATATTTGCCTGTTCTGAAATGGCCTCCTCCTACTCTGCAAGCTACTGCTGAGTTCCTCAGCAACTGGAAGAAGTAGGAGGGAGAGGAGCCAAGGCAAGGTCTAACAAATCTTGATGGTGTTATTTCTCATCCTGTTGTTTCATTTTAGCAGCCACCAGACCACAAAAGAGGAAGGGGGTATCAAGACATAACAATTTCAGCACGGAAAAGAGATTTGTCATATAATAAATAAGATTATTAGAGCTGTCAGCAGAACAGTCTTGGGATTATTTGTGCCTCCCTGTCTGCAAAGCTTGGGAAAATAACCTGTAGGAAGACAGAAACAACTCATTTCATCATAAGGAACCGTTTATTTCCCTGCATCCATTGGCAGCACCAGGATGCTATTAAGCAAATATGGAGCACTTTCTGCCCATCATCTCCACTCATTCCTTACCTGTTGGCTCTGTGGGAGGAGTTGGGTTTGGTCTTTTTGGTCTTTTTGGTCTTTTTCCGGGCTTTTAACAGCAAAATCCCCTTTTCATCATTTGTATGGCTGGCGTGCATACCAGATGCTGGAATAACCTTCAAAATGAGGAACCGGTGGAAAACAAAATTGTTCTTAAGCCAGATTGCATTTGTAAATAGGGCACCTCTTTTTGCTTCCTCCAATAAATAAATAAATAACCTTTTCTATTTATTTCAAGAGCTGTTTTTGCTACAGATCTCTATATAACAGACTTTTGTTCGGAGCCAAAAGTAAAATAAAATGGTGCTTTAATGAGTAGTGTCCAAAAGTTACAGCTTCTGTATCCATGGGCGAATTCCAGAGACAATGGAGGTTTTCAGTTCCCATCCAAGAACTGCAAGTACTCAATATGTTGGGCATGATCATAGGTACTGGGGTGCAGCAGAACAAGATGACAGCAACGTTTTGCTGGTTGTGCTCTTGGTAAGGGCTGCAGGTGGATTTCCTGCCTATGGTAAGTCCAAGCACTTTGCTTTTCCAGCTCGCTACTGCTGTGGCTGAGACAATGAATTCATTTTTTCCGAAGTATATTTTGCTGATAATTGCAAGGAAGGTATTTTAAAGGATCTGGGAGGTAAAATGGCTCTTTCTGATACAGTTTTTCACTTTGGGAGAAGGAAGTGTCCCCAAGAATGGCTTGTGTGGATTGACACCTTTTCATTGTGCAGCTACCACTTGGAAAAACTACCTGAGCATTAAAAAGGAAGACTGATCTAAGAGGGAAAAAATTCAGTTTAAAATTTTTTTTCTATGTTAATGGTAAGAAGAAAAAAAATGAAGGTAAAAATTTTTTTTGTCTATTCAGTGTTGAATATAATGTAGAAAGTCCCAGTGGCCAAGAAATTGTGACTCCTTGGACTGCTGTGGGCTTGAAATTAGTTGTTAAAGCATATGTAAAATACATCAGTAGCAGTCTTAAAATAAACACTTAGTTTCCAATCCTTTATCATAACTCCTTAGGGCAGGTAGGGCAGGAGCTGGTGCATCCAGCACTGCCAGAGCCGCAGCATCCATCTCAGCTCCTTGCATCAGTGTTTTAACTTACAGGAGACTGTAGCATTGCTGTATTTATTCCTCCCCCCTTCTCCCTCCTTGGATGCTCTCTGTGCATTTTGTTTGTGTACATGTTTGGGTTTTTTTGTAGTGTAAGATACGAAATTTTCTATTTTTTCATAAAAATAAAACCCTTTGACTAACAGCAACATCCAGTTGTGGATCACACGCATGCGTACCCCCTCGGCTTTCCATGAAGCATCAGGAAATAAAGGAAAGGAAATAAATTCTCTTTATTTTTTCTGTCCTAAACACAGACTTGGTGCCAATCTTGTGGTCCCTGGGGGAAAGAGGGACCACAAGATGGGTTGTGGTCCCATGATGGGATGAGGGAGATGTGTAGACCCACACAAACACATCCTACCTTGTTACAAGCTGTTCTCTCTTTCCTCTGTTCTTTCAGGGAAAATATGCTCTTTTGTCTGGTTTGTGGGGCAAAGGGCCTGCTAAAACAACCAAGTCCCAGAACAGCCCCTGGCCACACATCCCTCAGAAATACCAATTTTTTTGGTGATTTTTTTTTTTTTTTTTAATTACTCAGAGGTTCTGATTTTCTCTGAGTTTTTTTGAGGGTGGGACCCCAGCAGACCCATGACCAGCTGGAACACCCCCTACCACATCCCCCGCCCCATGGATTTGGGGGCAACCACATGCTGCAAAGTGGCATGGGTCAGCCTTAAAGAGAGGTGAGAAAACTCATAGGTGGGAAAGGCTGAGGGGAAAGGGGGAAAAAGATTGGCTTGGGAAAGGTCTAACAGAGGCAGTGGTGGGCAGCCACCATCTTATTGTCTGCTGCTATAAGATAAAGGGAAGACCTGCAGATGAGGATGTAGTGTTTCTCCTGACATAATGAGAAACTGTGGCAGATCATGGGTGGTGATACACTCATACCATGGCCAGGAAAGGCATGGTAGGCTGGGAGAGCAGAGGAATGCTGCCTTATATATTAAAGGGAGCACAAGGTCAATTGGGTTAGCAAGCCGAGGTTGTCAGCAACATGGATAAAATCACTCTGGATTGACACGCCAGTCCCCATTCAGTATTTTCTTATTCAGCCTGAGGTTGTCTGCTGCTGGACCACAATGGTGACAGATGCTGGAAGGAATCAGAGGGTCTCTGAGGACAGGGGGAAAAACAGTCTTAACTTGCTCCCATGTAGGCAGCATCCTTGATAGCATCATGGAGGCAGAGAACCTGCTAGGGGGAAAATACAAACATGGGGAAACTTCTTTAAAGAAGCTGAAACAGCTTTGCAAGTGATGTGGAGGCATTTGACAGGTGAGGTTCAGTTTGTTGGGAAAACGGTAGGTTCACGACCTCTAGAAGCTTCCATGTAAAAAAAAAAGAAAGGCAGCAAGTGAAATCTTGAGGAACAAGGGTGTTTTACAAGGTTTCCCTGATTTCATCTGTCATATAAATAGGGATGGTGCCCTCAAGAAGAGACATCCATGACAGCAGCTGCCTCTGGCTCATGGTCTTTGGCCAGCAGAAGGAAGAGAGGGATTAGAATGCAAATTCCTTCCACAACAACACTCCATTTTAAGTGAGAACTAAGGAATTAGGCAATTTCCTTGGGCCTTTGTGCTCCAGTTAGTTTGGGGCCAACTCTTACACAAATCTCAACTCAGTGTTTGCTTATTACTTGCTAGGCTCAATGTGAGAAGAGGCACTTATAATCTGTGGGCACCAGCTAATAAATTTACCTGCACAGAGAGGTAAGGTGGTTTGCCTGCACAAAGGGTCCTTAAGCAGGTGGGTTTTGCGTGGTTCTTCTGCACAGCCTCTGTCTGGTCCCTGCAAGAAATGCGCAGCTGCCCAACTGCTGAGAATGCTTAACAAGCTGTGAACAAGGTAATATTATTCTCTGCATTGCTCTTGTTTTCAGTAAAGCTGAAACAAACTGAAAAGCGGGATGACCCTAGTGCTGGCAACATTGCAGGGCAGCAAAACAACAACTTTGTCTTATTTTTCCTATCCAATAACCTAAAAATGGGGCTCAGGGGTCTTTGAATCTCCCCCTCTTCTGCCAGCGTGGATGGGGTTCAAGCCTTCTGTCTAGTTCCAGAATCCCCAGAGGATGCTGTGGCCCCAGGGCAGGAGCAGTGGGGAGGCTGCTCCCCATCACCCCTTGAAGCCGAGCTGCCATGCAGAAAGCAATGCAAGATTTATGAAGCCATGAGGAGAAAGAGCGAGGGACTCTTCATGTATTTTTCATGGGCTGAACTGCATAAATAGCATGCAATGCATAAACTGTGGCTGGATACTTCCACAAAAAAAAAAAAAAAAAAAAAAAGGATCAGCAAGAAGAAGAAGAGATGAAAGAATGAGGTAGATTTATTCAAGTCAACGAAGCCTGTTGAAAGTCACCCTCAAGTGCATTAAGAAGCAGCCGAAACAGCACAACCTGATCCTGGGGTGATTCATCTTTGCTGACATGAGGAGGGAGACAGACCTCGAGGACTGGAGAAGGGCACACGTCATACCTGCTTGGTAAAATGGATGGGTGGGAGGAGAGAAACCACCTTATCTGCAAGGCCTGGGATGTGGCGTGGGACTTAGGGAGATGCTAGGACAAACTATTGCACCAGCTGACAGGTTAGTGTGGGAAGTGAATGACACTGAGGCACACAGAAACAGCTCAGAATGAGGTAGGACCAGAAAAAGAGGGCTACACTGGAAAATTCAGTGCAGGGATGAGTGCTGCAAAGGCAGCTTCCCTGTGGCAGTTCTCTCAGCAGGTACACGTGTGCTTCCAAGTGTGCAATGTTAATAATGCATCCACTGCCAGAGATCAAACCTCAATACATGAAGACAAAATGATCCCAGGCTAAGATCAGGTAGGAAGTCAGAGCTGGCATCAAGTAGGAAATGGAAGCCAGAGCAGCATGGCCAGCAAAAGGCTTTGCTTATTTTGCAGCCCTGAGAGCAAAACAGGGTGTGCTTATAGTTATTGCATGGCATAGGCTCTACAGGGAAAAAAGCCTTGGAGAAACAGGAATTAATTTCTGATGCTCACTGGAGGTACCCATTGTCTCTATAATATGACTTCCAGTTGGAGCATTTCCTGCAATTCTTTTGGGACCCACTGGGCATTGGTGGCTGCAGACCTCTGCAATACAGTGACCTTTGATAGCTCATTAACATAGGGCTCATTATTTTCCTCCCAGTAAGTCCTGTGAGCCAGCCATGGAGGAGAACAAGGTGCCCATGCAGGTGATTTTCTTACCCCATCATTTCCTCACCTCTAGCCAGGGTCAGCTCAGCTATTCATAGCATCAGCTATAATAATATTGAGCAAATTAAGTGTAATAAAAGAAAGAAGATGCTTTCTTACACTGTCATGGTGCTTTAATAATCTATTAGGAGCTCTAACCAGGTTTTTCTGACCGCAAAACTCTCAGAGCTCCTCCATAAATGGCCAGTGGATGCATTTGTGCTGGTGAAGATGACTTATTTCCCTCACAGCTTATTTTTTTAACTACAAAACCAAAAGAAAAATCTTCCAAGCTAAAAAAAAAAAAAAAAAAAGGCAAAACTGTGAGATAGGCTGCCTGCCGTTTTCTTGGTTTGCTCCCAATAAAGGCCATATTTATTACAAGAAAATTGAAATCCTATTGATTTCTCTTCTGAGGCACTGTGTTTCAAGCTTGACATTTAAACATGGAACTCCGGGCTCTAAAGTTTAATCATTTACTCCTGTAGAAATACAGTGTGTGGAACCACTGAGCAAAAGGGCATGCAAGGTAAAAATATTTCACTGGGGGAAAAAAAAGAAGATAGGGAAATTACACATTCATTTAAAAACAGAAGATAAGGGAACAGCTTCTCACATCCAGTGGGCAAAATGTTGCCAAAGTGGCATCCTGTGGTCCCTTTCCATGAGACATGTAGGAGCTCAGGACTTGCTCAGGGCTTGCTAATTGTAGGAGGAGGGGTAAGAAGTCATATGCATATGGATGAATATGGATGGATAGATGTGAATTGATGGATATATAGCGAGAGAGATGCATGGGTATTTATGCACACACATGCAGAAGCACTGGATGATAAACTCAATTTTAAGACAAGAAATAGGGCATGACTGCTAAATGATGAATGGCAGCAAATAGCCCAGGAGTGACACTGGATTTGGCTGAAAAGGGGTATTTTGGGCCTAGCAGGGAGGATAGATGGAGATCATCAAGGTTTGGCACTGGAAAGGTTCTGGCCTTCATTAATGTTCCTGTCCGAGCATGAATTAATGACTCAGGAGGGAGGGGAGGAATGCAGAAGGGATGGATGTTCTCACCAGTGTTTAAATCCCACCAAGTTCCATCCCACTGGGCAGTCCCCAGCCAGTTCCAAAGCAAGGAAGGCAGGATTGAGTGGGCTGGATAAAGTGGCTAGGAACATGCATTTAGCAAGTGATCGGGAGAAATTAGAAGGAGGGGAGACACAGTCATGGCTTTCATCCTGGCTTGGTCATGGCTTTTGGGCTTGAAAGTCACTCACAGACCTAAAGGTCGATCCACAGTTCCCAGCTGGGAGAGGAATTTATTTATTTATTTGGCTTGGAAACAATGGCTCTTTTGAGGTGATTTAGTGTTTTGCAGTGAAAAAACAGGATTTCACAGCAGCCAGGGTTTGTGAGCAACTGTGGGTGCACCAAGTCCTACACAGGGACTGGCTCACTCATCACCTGCTAAAACCTGGTTTGGGTGACTTTAGGTCCTGAACATGCCCAGGTGGGTCCTTACCTTGGCCCAGCAAGGGGAAAGGAAAGCACGAAACCCAGAATTTGCAGAACAGGGCTGTACAGCCTAAATCACAAGTCTTTTTGTAGCAGCAACTACACATATTCCAGCAGAAATCAATAAAATTAATAAATAATTGTGCATCTTCTCTGTGATGAAAGGCTGTTGGCTCTAGCACAGGCAAAGTCAGGATGTCCCTTCGTAGGGCAGTGCTAGGGGTGCAGCATCCAAATCAACGTGAATAGTTGCTTCAGGGCAGAGAAATCAGTGCTGAGATAACTTCATCCCTCTCCCATCCCTAACTAAGAGCTGTGCTTCATTGCATTACCCTCCCATTCTATGCAGCAGCCAGAGAGACATCGAATCCCTGGCCCCCGAGCTTTGCATCCCAGGCAGGGCTCCAGCCAGGAGCAAAG